TTAGTACATCGAATGTTTTCACAATGCCGAATGTTTCTTTATATTTCTTCTTGACATCTGAAAGAAGGAAATCGTCAGCTGTTGGATAGTTTTTGTTTAGAAATGCTAACATGTCCATTTTGTTTTCTGCTGGTTTCTCTACTTCTTTCTTTAAGTCAGCATAGTCGTTTCTCATACGTTCTATCTCTTTGACGAAGTAGTTATATTTCCTCATTGCTGCTTTACATTTAGAACATTGTGGGTTCATTTTAGCATTGTACATTGAAATTTGTCCTGCAAGTACAACTATAGCGTCAATGGTCCTCTTAAATTCAAAGGCTGCTGGTTTTATCTGTTCGTTCCATATTTTACATCTTTTATCTTTATCTCTTATCTGCCATACACATTTTGCAACTAACGAAACAAAGTTGTCGTAGGTCTTAAATTCTTCAGATTTATATATGTCAGAAACATTCTTATATACTATATCGCAATCTTTGTCCATGACTTTGTGGTTGCAATGAAATCCAAGAAACTCATAGTTAACCTTACGTATGAACTTCTTTATTTCTACCGAGTCGGTTGTTTTTACTTCTATTTCATCGAATTCTGGAATAGTGAGCTTTTGTTGTTGTATTTCAGGAAGTTTAGGCAAATGGTCGATGAGGTCCTCCATTTCATAAAGATATTGTTCATTTGTTTCATCTTTTGCAGTGCAATCTAAATCTCCTTGGAGAAGTTCTTGCTTTATCTTCTGGATTTCTGTCTCAAATGTATATGAAGAAGGAATGAAGCTTTTCATCTCTACTAACATTGAAGTTGGGTTCATAACTAAAGAGTTTGGTGAAGTTGTTGCTAACATGTTCTTACAATAAAAATAAAAAATATTTTTTTAAAAATACTAACTCACTTTTTTTCTATCTTAAGGAAATTCATGAAAATTCAAGAGGGTGAAAAATTAGGTGAAAAAACAGGTGAGATCTAACCATCTACCCTAAAATATATTTTTGGTTCATTTACACTCGTTACGATGAAGAAGTCTTGACATTTTCCCGACTGTTGTCAAAATGTCATGTTGTCTCATTTTTTAAAAGAAGTTAGTTTACCTGGTGACACATGGTTACCCGGTGACATGGTGACCCCTTCAGTAAACATCTCATTTTAACTCACTTTTTTCTATCTTAAGGAAATTCATGAAAATTCAACGGGTGAAAAATTAGGTGAGAAAACGGGTGAAAAAACAGGTTAGATCTCACCTCTTCACCTAAAATATATTTTTGGTTCATTTACACTCGTTACGATGAAGAAGTCTTGACATTTTCCCGACTGTTGTCAAAATGTCATGTTGTCTCATTTTTTAAAAGAAGTTAGTTTACCTGGTGACACATGGTTACCCGGTGACATGGTGACCCCTTCAGTAAACATCTCATTTTAACTCACTTTTTTCTATCTTAAGGAAATTCATGAAAATTCAACGGGTGAAAAATTAGGTGAGAAAACGGGTGAAAAAACAGGTTAGATCTCACCTCTTCACCTAAAATATATTTTTGGTTCATTTACACTCGTTACGATGAAGAAGTCTTGACATTTTCCCGACTGTTGTCAAAATGTCATGTTGTCTCATTTTTTAAAAGAAGTTAGTTTACCTGGTGACACATGGTTACCCGGTGACATGGTGACCCCTTCAGTAAACATCTCATTTTAACTCACTTTTTTCTATCTTAAGGAAATTCATGAAAATTCAACGGGTGAAAAATTAGGTGAGAAAACGGGTGAAAAAACAGGTTAGATCTCACCTCTTCACCTAAAATATATTTTTGGTTCATTTACACTCGTTACGATGAAGAAGTCTTGACATTTTCCCGACTGTTGTCAAAATGTCATGTTGTCTCATTTTTTAAAAGAAGTTAGTTTACCTGGTGACACATGGTTACCCGGTGACATGGTGACCCCTTCAGTAAACATCTTATTTTAACTCACTTTTTTCTATCTTAAGGAAATTCATGAAAATTCAACGGGTGAAAAATTAGGTGAGAAAAGAGGTTAGATCTCACCTCTTCGCCTAAACTTTATTTTTGCTGAAAAATGACCAAATTTCATGAGTTTTGGTTGAAAGAATACGGTGGAGCCAAAAGTGGCTCGACCTCAAAACAAGCATTTTGTGAAGAATATAGCAACCGCCGGAATTCCGGCGGTTGGTTTTTATACAAAATTCAACAGGTGAGAAAAGAGGTGAGAAAAGAGGTGAGATCTCACCATCTACCCTAAACTTTATTTTTCAATACTTTTTCAGCACTTTTCCGTAGTTGTATATGAAAGACAATTCGAGATAAAAGTCATAGTACAATGGAATAATATGCTGCACACCATTTGTTGTGAACCAAACTTGAAAGTCAGAGAAACTGTTACTAGGTGGTTCGTAGAATTTAGAAGCAAAGTCATAAAAGTCCTTACCAATACATAGAAAACCACTGTTGCTTGAACTGAAACTTGCATGGCACATAACATTTTGAGGGTCAAACACGTTTCTATAAACTGTCAAATCTGCTGGTGGAAGTATAAATTTAAATGGACCATCTGGTGGTAATGGTTCGTTCTGGTTTAGTAACCGAAGAAATTGTGCCCAAGAACGTTTGTCTACTTTCCAAAATAAAAACTCTGTATCTCTTGGAGGGTTAATTTCAATCTTTTGAAATGAAACGGTGGAGTTCATCTTGTCATATTCTAGTTTCAGATAGTATGTTCCATTTAGTAAAGAGTCGTATTTTTTTGAAATTCCCAATAATATTTGTTCATTTGAGTTTGAAAGTCATTTAGAGTTTTCTCAAGACTTTCGTCTGAACGAACTGTAAAGATTCTCATTTCGTCAAATTTGTCTATTAGACCATCAGAACCTTTATACTGCCCATGAAAATATACTGCGAACATAAATGCGTTAGTTCTATTTGAAAACAAAACTCTTCTAAATCCTATTGCCTTTGCATCTGAAGGACTTTGAAGCCAACGAATTGGATAGTCAAACCTGTATGCTCGGGATGAAATTTCTTCATCTGAAATAGTCCTACCAGCATTTGTATAGATATAGTCTAACGGTTTTGTATCTGCTACTTTTGTTCTTTGTTTTTCAACCTGAAGCATTTAATATATGTAAAAATATATTGTTTTAAAATGGTATGCCATTTCATATTTCTCATCTAACAAACAAGTTTCCCAACGGTCTTCTCCAACAAACTCAGCGTACATTTCAAATAAAATAAAAAAATATTTTTTTTCTTTACTTTACATAACCACCTGCTGCCATAAGTCTTTGACGCCAACCCATACCAGCTAATGAAGGTTGACTTGGTTTAGTTTGGAAACTAAACTTTGGTTTTGGTTTATCTTCAGTTTTTTGTTTTTCTTCTTCTATCGGTTTTTCGTCACTTTTCGGTTTCTCTGACTTTACTTCACTTGCAGGAACAGTTGTGTCGTCAACATCTTCATAAATATCATATGCCATTTGTTTTTGTTTTCCTTTCAACTTTTTGTGTTTGTTGTAAAGTTTAGAATATTTCGACTCTAAGTCAATGAGATGTTCTATAATGAACTGTTGGTCAGTGAAGTAAACTTTTCCATCTGTTGTCTCGAAAGCTCCTTCAGACTTCAATATTTTATTTGTGAGAGTCTGTTTCTTTTTTGAGATACTTGCCGTTCCATTTCTATGAAAAGTGACTTTGTAGTTAGAGTTTGTATTTCCAGACCTGGCACTTTCTATTATTGAATTTTTCTCTTCATCTGTAAGTTCTTTGACAGGTTTTGACAATGGTTCTGAACTTTTTGTTTGTGGTGTCAAATCTACCGTTTCAACTTCTTCGGTCATTTCATCTCAGTAAAAATTTTTAGTTTGGTTTGTTTTCAACTGGTTGTTGTTGTTTTTTAAGTCGGTCTAAAACTTCCTGAGGTATAGGAAGAACTTGACAAACACGTTGTGTAACTGCTGGAAGCCGACAAATCCATCTTGAACCCATTTGTCTCAATGCTGTATTGTTCATTTCATCTCAGTAAAAAACTTTACATTCCCCACGTTTGAGGCGGTTGAGGTTGGTTATTGTTTACCCATTGTTGTGCATGGTTATATCCTCTGTTAAAGAATCTTTCACCTTGGTCCATATAGTGTCCTGCTTGGTTATAGTAGTCATTTGCTTTGTTATAATAGTTTCCTGCTTGTCTTCCTACATTGTCCATCCATCCTTGAACTTTTCCTCTTGTTTCAGGATTTGGAATAAGATTTGTTGCATCTCGTGCTACATCCCAACCTTTCTGTACAGTTTGTATAATAGGTTGTGCTTTCTCTTTAAGTATACCTAATGTACTCAAAATCTTCCTTCCAACTCCAAATACACCTCTGGCTATTGTTCCCACTGCGGGTAAAAATCTAGATGCGACTCCTGCTAATGCGCCAAATAAACCCATTTCTTATGGGTTAAAAAATGACGAATCCAAACAAGGACCCCTATGTTTCTAAGGCAACAAAAAAAGCACTCATGATAAAAATCTTTAGTTCAACACCAAATGCTTGGTTTATGGATATCTTGGAAAACATTCCGAGAGTTAGAACAGATGGACCTCCATACTGGCTAATATTTGTTGGTCAAAACACAAGATACTGTGAAGCCATACCATTATGGTCCAAAAATATTTTAGATGTGAAAACTGCTTTGACAATATTCGTTGACAAATACCATCCAACAAAACTGACATCTGACTGTGAAAGTTCTTTCAAATCAGACGATATTAAAAACTATCTGCGTTCAAAAAATGTAAACCAATATTTCATTGTCGACCAAAACCATTCTGCTCTTGGTGTCATTGACGGTTGTATAAAAATGTTAAGAGACTTAAACCAACCACAAGGTGGTGAAGCAAATGAAATGTCATATGACGACAAATATAGACACTTCTCCATGGCAAAGATGAGACAAGTTTTAAATATTTACAATAACCGTAAACAAAAAGGTTTGGGAAACCACTCCCCCGAAGAAATGAAAAACAACCCCGACTTAGAGAAAGACTATATATTTAATAATTTAGTCAAAAGAGACAAACAAGAAAGAATGCCGGGCTTCAAACTTCAGAAAGGAGACAAAGTAAAAATAGAAATACCTAAACGCGACCCATATGAAAATACTATTGACTATGACAACAATGGGAACCCGACAGGTACTCACATTCGTGTTCGTAAAAATAGAAGAAAGTATACAAGAGAATATTATGAAGTTTTAGGCAAACATGGCAAAATGTACACACTGCAAGCAGAAGATAAAACTACTATTGTCAGACCTCGTTTCAAACTTGTCAAAGTTCAAGGTGGTATACTTTCAAAGACAGTTCCTAACAAATATAAGACAACTCCTGACGAATATGCTAAAGAAGTTGAAAATGACGACTAAGCAATTCTATACCATGCGTAAACTGTCATGTAAGGTGGCATGTATTCTTTACTTTGTCCCGTTGTTTGTGTATATCCTGAAACGAAATGTGTATGGTTTCCTTCTCCCTGAGTGTCACTCCAGTAACAATTTATAGCAAACTTAACGTCGTCTTTAACATCATATCCTTTACCTTTTGTCATTCCTGACCAATCCCAATATCTATGCTTATGCCAACCTGCTTGAGATGTACTTAAATCTATGTAGTGACTATGTGCAGGTAAATTTTCACCTGAAATCGTTTTACTTCCACCTGTTTCCTTTGAAGAGTTTGCACAATACAAAAACCTGTCGACTATTTGTTCCCATGCACCAACACCAAACATTACTTGAGGACCTCTTGCTTCCACAGATGTATAAATAGAACCTACTGGGTTCATTAAATCAAACATATGAGACATTATAGGATTGTCTCTTTTGAACTTAAAATATAGTGCAACTATTTCAGGTTTCTTCTGGTTTGTGTCAGAATATTTTTTATAATATAATCTTATGTTTTCAGGGTAGGTAAAGTCTTGACTATAATATTTATTTCTGTCATCTTCATAATAGTATACTATTCTCGTTTTTTCTATTGCATTATATCTTTTATATCTATAATAATCTAAATATAATGTTAGCTTTTGTTCATCTACATGTGGTGTTCTGACGTCATCTCCATAGTCATAATAATATGGTGCTGGAGCTGGGTCAGGCAATGTCATATCTGCCATTTCATAAACTCTTAAATATTTCTTTTGTTCGTCTCCATATAAGTTTAAGTAGCAGTTGTTGTCTAATGGAACTTTAACTTGTGTACCATCATTCTTTTTATAGCTTACATACATTTCATTGTTATTTTTCGGAATGAGTTTATACCGTATACCATTTTTTAAGGAATGTACAAACTGCCATCTAAAATATTTATTTCTTCATTGACAGAAAAGTCACCAACAATAGTTTCAATATTTTTTGTTCCAACTAAACTTTGGTATATTTCATTGACATATGTTTTATCTGCTTTCTTTTCAAGGCTAACGTTTAAGTCTGTTATTTCAGAAGATGTATGTGTATCCAACGCACTTTTCCTGTTTAAGGTTTCTTGTAAGTTTGTAATATTTGCAATGGTATGTGTATGTCCAACGTCACTTTTCCTGTTTAAGGTTTCTTGTAAGTTTGTAATATTTGCAATGGTATGTGTATGTCCAACGTCACTTTTCCTGTTTAAGGTTTCTTGTAAGTTTGTAATTTTGCAATGGTATGTGTATGTCCAACGTCACTTTTCCTGTTTAAGGTTTCTTGTAAGTTTGTAATATTTGCAATGGTATGTGTATGTCCAACGTCACTTTTCCTGTTTAAGGTTTCTTGTAAGTTTGTAATATCAGATATAGAATGTATATGAGTCTTTTTAGAATATTCGTTTTTCAGCTCTTGTCACTTCACTTGACATTTTATTGTCAACATATGTTTTGTCTGCTAGTTCAGGATGAGTATGTTCTTTTGTTGCATAAGCTTTGTTAGCTCTTTTTCTTCTTTTGCTATTGCATCGTCTACATATTCTTTGTCAGCTTTGTTGTCAACATCTGTTTTCAAAAGAAGTTCATTTATAGGTTTCTCGTTTAAAGTTCCTTTTGTTGGATTTATACAGACAGTATGGTTCTTATTGTCTTGAAATAGAAACTCATCTGTCATTGGGTTTAATGTCAGTTTTAAGTTTCCTTCTTTCAATGACTCAGATATCTTAGAATAGTTTGAAAAGTTTGTTGTGTTCTTATTTAGAGCTTGTATAATGAGTTGTCGGTTGTGTTGTATTTCTCTCATAGACGCTGTTTCATTTGACATTTTTATTCTAGATAAAATATGCTTTCAATAGAAAAAGAAAATTCTAGAGTTGCTACAACTAAACCATTAGATGAACTTTTTACTAATGTAGGTCAAAAGTTTGAGACAGAGACCGTAAAGCATGAAGGCTATCGTTTTGACTACCCGTTAAGATGGTTAAGAGACCCATCTGTCACAAAAGCTATTGGCTTTCGTAGAATGAAGTTCATTTCAGAAGCCATACATGGTTTCCCATTTACGGTCGGTTTTGAAGTTCGATACTATAACAAAGAAAAACGTATGTATGAGAAATTTGAACAGGGAAAACTTTTACAAGTGAATTTGCTTGTAAACTTAGAAACAACTCTTCAAGCTTTTCAAGAAAAAATAAACGATATCTATATCGAATATGCAAAGCAGTATAACATTGACGAAGGAGAATACCATCTCGATATTATATATGACAGGAAAAATGCAACTGTTAAAATCAATAGAATAGAAGACCTTGGAGAAAACGTTTATATTTCTACAAAATATAACAACTTGGCATGGTATAGATTTATGAGGATGTTAAATCAGCCTGCAGCATATCCAGTACACCCAGACTTTTATGAAGTCGAAAACCCTAATGGAACATATGAAAATGTTTTCGACCCAGCTGCTATTATTGTTCATGCTTCATTTTCTGGCGCCCAAAACTCTTTTTTATGCTTGGCAAATGACTTTTACGAAAAACCTACAAAGTTATACGAACCACCAAGTGGAAGTATTTCAGACTTTCAAGTATGGTTTACTACAGATGGAAGAAAAAGAATAATTCCATTATACCATGCGTTTTACTTAGAACTTAGTTTCATATACAACTACTATCGAACGGTAAAAATATAATTTTTTAATACGGTTGAGGTGTTGGATTTGGTTGCCAACTAGACTGTGGTGCAGGTTCAGGCTGTTGTATAACAGGAGCTTGTTCTTCTGGTTCAGGGTCTTTAGGTATAATACCAACGAACTGACCTACTCTTTTACCAATATTTTTGACTCCGTTCCAAATTCCTCTTCCGACAGATTTTATTCCATTCCATATACCTCTTCCAACATTTCGAAAGAAGTTTCCTATTCTTCCAAAGAAACCCATTTTACTATATGTAAAAATCTAATGTCCGCCTAGTCTCTTACGTTTCCTGTTGAGTTCCATAGCATTCTTTAACTGGAGCTCATACATTCTGTTTCTCCTCTGGTAGAAAACATATTCTGGGTCAACTCATGTGTTCGCGTCATCTGCATAAAGTTGTTTATATCCCACTTCAGGGTTTGTATAAAACTCTTTCCATCTCATATTTGCATACCATGGTGGCAAACCTAACGCAGCGTCATTTGACATGGCAGTTTGCATTTGTACATCTGTTGGCACTTGACCATAGTTTGCCATTGCAGTTTGTATTCTAACTTCATTTGGAATATTCTCTGGGTTTGGTTGTCCAGGTTTGCTGTGCATTCGCTAAGTTCTGTGCGTCCATTTAAATATTAGATAAAAATATCTCTTACGAGTACATATACTGAACATTTGCAGGCATTGGTTCATTTCATATTCTCTGTACTTTTCTGCCACGTCAAATAAATAAATGACACAATGGAAAAACCTAAAACAAGTAGTCCTATTTCAAACCACATTTACTTACTAGTAAAATTTCTTTGTTATGACACTTTTCCGGTTTATAGGACCTCTCTCATATTCTATCTTGTCATATCTAAACTCATAGTCATGTATGTCCTCTAACCATCTCATAACGGTTTCCAAACCACTTTTATCGGATGTAAAGTAAAAGCATGGATGGTTATGTATAACGTCTAAAGTTTCTAAAGAGTCTCTCAAAGTCCAGTCTACTTGTATTGAAAATCCATGTGTTATAGAACGGCGGGTCCACTATAAAGAAAACATTTTCCTTGTCTTTATATTTTTCATACAACTCTGTCCAATGACATCTCACAAACTCTATACCCTCAATATATTTTTTCTATGTTCTCTTTGAAAACATTTGTATAGTTAAGATATAAACTTTTGACATAAGTGTTTCAATGTCATGAACTCTTATAGAATCACTATATAATAGTCTAGCAGATATACTATCCCAGTCTATATATTCTGCTTTTTTCAAAACCTCTCTCACAATATTTTTGTTATCTAATGGTATACGTTCCATCTTACCTATAGGTATTTTTCATTTAACTCTTTCAATATATTGTTTGTGTCTGGTATATGTTTGAGACGGTCCATATAGTTGTCGAAGTCATTGCATATAATCTTTGAGTCAGGAAATACGGTATGACATAAATGGGATATATAGAAACTTCCACGAACAAATCTACAAATGTTAGACCATTCGGTAGTTTCTTAAGTTCTCTCAATATAATATCTTTACATCTACTCTTATTTCAAAGAACGGTAACGGTGGTTTTGTAAAATTCATTATATATATAATAAAAATGTTTTTTCCTGAAAAGTGACAGAAAAGTGACAAAACATGAAAACATATATAATTTGTGAAAAGCGACACATTATATAATGTTTTCGACCCAGAAGACTAACAATTTTCCGAATAAAAACTTCATTTATACTAAACATCTTCAGGGCTAGAGGGCACGAAGTGCCTGGAGGCCCCACTACCTTTTTTTTTTAATATTATATAAAAAGTCTCTTTAATATCTATATTTCATATTTTTATCGATTTTTAAAGTTTTTGCGAAAAGTATTCAATTATTTTTGCTATTTGGTCGGGTAAATGTCAGATTTGCGACATTTTCTGATATGATATTCAGATTCTACGTTGATAATAATGCTTATAGAACCCTCTTGCTATTGTGTCAAAATTGCGAAACGATAGCAAAAATATCTCGCAATATCAAAATTGAGATATTGATGAATTATGCATTATAGAGATTAAAAATCTGATTTGTGAAAACATCTCATCAGTTTCTAGCTAATTCAAAAATCTTTACTATCTTATTCGATTAAAATGAAAAGGGAATAGTTTCATTATGCTTTAAATGACAGCCTTATAATATAATCATAGTTTTCGCTCAATATGCAGCATTTTTTTTTCGAAATCTATGGTCAATATCCTAAATACTGATTGCTTTGCATTCATATCTCTTACATTTTCTATACCCACATCACTATTCATTGCTATTCCTATCTTTTTCATTTTTGTTTGTTTCTCATAATTTCTCAAAAAACATGATAACTTGATATTTGTAAATATCATACTTTATAACGTAAATAAGAACTTGACCTATTAAGAAAAGCAGTAATGAAAAGAAAATCTGAAATTCATAAAAATTACAAGTTTCTGATGACAATTAGCTTAATTAAACCAGGTACAAGATTATATAATTGTATTTTCTATCCAATTATCCATATAATATCTTATTCAGAAAAAATAACTTGATCAATACCAAATGATTTTTTAACTAGTAAATAAAGTATTTTCTTTACACACACATTGTATATCATAGTTTTTTTTTGGTTTCGCAAAACATCCAAAAACAAATATGCTATAAAAGTGACAATTTTAGCAAAACGAAACCCTTATAATCAATGATGATTAGCAATAACTTATAATTTTAGTGAACGTTTTGAATTTCACTAAAATCTTATAAAATCTGATGTTTCAGCTTGATCATTCAGTAAGCACCTTAAAATTAATGCCTCCAATATCACCACGTGGTGTACCAAAAACGCCTCAACCATTAAATATGTCAAATTCAAACGCAGCATTCTTTAAAAAATCAATCCCTCAAACTCCATCAAGTGAAAGGGATCCAGAGTCAGACATAAAGGTATTTTTACGAGTTAGACCAATTCTTCCAGGAGAAACACAAGCAGATTTGCAGATCAATGAGAATACAGTAATTGCCAAAGTTCAGCAAAAAGATAAAACATCAAAACATCATGCAGAACGAACTTACTCATTTACTCATATTTTTAAGCAAGAATCAGAACAAGAAGAATTATTCCAGGAAATCGCTATGCCACTTCTTAAAAAGTTTATACGAGGTTATGACGCACTTCTATTTGCATATGGAGCAACAAGTGCAGGCAAAACATTTACGGTTAGAGGAACTGAGCAAAATCCAGGTCTCATTCCAAAAATGGTAAGAACTTTACTTGCAGTTGAACAACCAGTAGATGCAGAACGTGGTTTATTTGTGTCTTGCGTGGAAGTTTATAACGAACGCATTCATGATCTTCTTGGCGATACAAAGCAGCCAATGCGTATTTCAAAGGATGGTTTTGGCTTTACAGTCATCAAAGATGCTAAAGAAATCGAAATCAAAAGACTTGAAGATTTGAAATCAATTTTATCAACCGTTGATAAAGCTAAATCAGTATGTGCAACTACATATAATTCTCAGAGTTCAAGATCTCACTGTGTTTTTATGCTCAAGTTAATTTCAATTCCTATTGATCCGAAGACCAAGCAAAGAGTTAACGATATTTCAAAAGTTAGTGCTTCAAGGCTTTCTATTGTTGATCTTGCTGGTTCTGAAAGAGTCGATCCCCAAGATAAGAATCAAAAAGCTGTAAATGAGGCAATTAGTATTAACTCCTCAATGTTTACACTTGGACAGTGCATTAGGATGATCAGGCAGACAAAACTTGGCGTAAAAGGTCTTAAGATACCATACAGGCAGTCAAAGATTACAGAGCTTTTTAAGGACTTTTTCGATCCTGTTACATCACGAAAAACATATTGCTCTATTATAATCAATATTTCTCCTTCGACAAAACAGATATCAGATACTTTATTTGCACTTCAATTTGCTGCAGAAGCTGTTGAGTGTAGAGTTGCAGCTGATGATGTAGAGGAAGAAGATTTAGTTGTTGGAAAAGCCCTCAACTTCTCAGATGAATCAGAAAATGTTGATGATAATAACAACGATGCTGAAGAAGAACAGAATGAAATAGAACTCCTTAAATTAAAAGAAGCAAAGATTAGACAAGAAATCCACTCTGAATTCCAAGATAGATACAAGAAAATCACAAAAGAGTTTGAAAACAATATTACGCAATTGAAAGCTTCTTCTGCTCAAGTTTATCCATGCAAACTGTAAGCGATGCTTGCTCAGAAGGCTCAAGCTGATGCTTACAAGAGATCTTTACTTGAAGCAAAAACAGAATTAGAGAGATTGCAATCAAAGAGCAAAGAGTTAGATAAGAAAGTTGAGGATGTCGAAGTTGAATTGAAAGCCATGATTGAAAAATGTAAAATTGAAGGCCAAAAGAATAGACAAGTCACAGAAGAGCTTGCAAATATGGAATCTACAAATACTAAACTTGAAGGTGCTTTAGAACAAATACATCAAAAATTATTAGAGACCCAAACTCAATGCAGAAAAGAGTACGAAGAAGAAATGGATGAATTCCAGAGAAGAATCAAAGAAATCAATTAATTGTTTTGTTATGATATTAGTTTTATTCATGTGTTGTTATAAGGGTAAAAATTATGCATAATTATTAATTGTTCATATGTCAATATCACAGTTGCATATATCATATGTGAATGTTATTGAGCTTACATATATGCAACTGTTTTAATCTATTGATGAATACCATATTAGAATATTCTACCAACATCGTGTCATATATACCTTATTACTTTCGACATTACTTTTGTAAACTGTAATATTATAATGTGAAAGAAAAAAATCATTTATTTTGTTATCTAAATGTTCATTAATCTTTAATAAGAATTTGTGTAAATGTATATAAGCTTTATTTATAAAAAGAAATAACAATATATTCTGATTATAAGAGATTTTTCAATTCTTCACTCTTAAATTCTGTTTGGTTGATATAGAAATTCACACTTCCATACCTAGTGTTACAAATTGGACATGTTCTGCAGGCTTCTTCAAGTATTGAAAGACAGACAGGGCAAATGTAACCTCTGCTGATCATTTTATGTGTATCAGCGCTAGGGGCCGAATACTCAAGCGGCTCAGGTGCTGGTAATGCCATTAAGTCTCGTACGGTTGTTGGTGGTAATGAGAATAAATATTGAGCCAAAGCAGCGCCCATCTTGATTGTCTTTGAAAAACCATGAGTAAGATCGGCAGCTTGGCTGAGGAAGCACAATCTATTTGAATTTAAGAATAAAACATCGATTACGACATCAAGCCTTTTAGCAGCGAATAAAAGATTATCGTACTGTGAGCCAGTCTCAGGAGAAACTGAAAACGCAAGTATTCTCTTTTTGATGTTTTTATTAGGTAAATTATTCATTAAACATAAAGATTTTGAAAGAGCAACATCAAGACGAACATGTGGTGTTGGTGGTATACTAGCTGATCTGCCATTAAATTCTGCAATCTGAATGATGATATTTTCGAAATAATTTTTAATTTGTTCTTGGTTTGTTGGATTGAACTTTTGATTTATGACATCTTTTGTACGGCCAGGTTCTGGGAAAATGAATTCGGCATGACTTTGGTTATAAGCTAATACGCAAGGTGGAAGAATACAATCTGAAAGAATCATTTGCTTCAAGTACAGAAACAAATGGTTCATAAATCCATCAAACTTAATATCTTTCATTTCCTTCCATTCAAGAGGATTGACATCAATTAGAATTGCTAAAAATTCATGAGTTGCGTCGTTCATGATTTTTTTAGTCAAATTTTTCAAAAAAAGAAGCAAATGAAAAAAAAGTCATTAGCTCCAAGACCTCATAGCACTGTTTTACGTGCTAATTCTCTTAAGGTCATCTCCAAACAAGATAGAAGTAGCATATCCGAAATACCGGTTATTACTTCTCCGCATTTCGACATTATTCCACAATACGAAGTTGTTGAACACGAAAACCAAATCGACATAACAAAATCCATTGTAGAACAAACAGTTAAAAAGCAATCACCTCAAGTCGAAAAAGATGAAAAATTTTTCATGCCATTCTTTGAAGTTGATTTCCAAAAATCAGTGTATTCATATGATTAACCATAGCATTTATATACCATTACATTATTTAATTTTCATAGAATTAATTCTTTGAACTTCATTGTATATTTCTTTAGTTTATTAGGTAATCCACTCATTTTTTGTTTTTGTTGGAATTTGAACTTTACTATCCCTTGGTAAGGAAGTATTTAGAATATTGCTGTATTTTTTTTTTATTACCGAAGGTTCCGGATCTTTTTATGTATGCCTCAATATTTTAGTTCATTTTCCAAACCATTCCGTTACTTAAACATTAGTTTTTCAAATAATTTTTTTTATCAAATTTATTTCAAATTTATTTCTCAACACGGTTCTCTATTATTTGAATTATAGATTATTAACTTTTATAAAACATACAAAAATATTGTTTATTTCTCTATATCCATTGAAGTATCCATGGATGAGATCCAACCTCACCCAAAGATATACGCTTTGTAGGATCTTTTTGCAAAAGTTTCTGTATAAGATCTTTTGCTAATTCTGGCATATCATCTGGGAACTTAATATTTACAGATTTGATCCTCTCGATTGTTTTATCGCGTTCAGGCTCTTCAAATGGAGCATTTCCTGTTAAAAATTCATAAAGTAGAACACCTATTCCCCAAATATCAACAGCGAAATCATACTTCTCACCATTGAGCATTTCAGGTGGAAGATAATCAAGAGTCCCGCAAAGAGTTGATCTTCTGTTAGTATTTGAAATAGATGCAGACCATCCGAAATCTGAAATTTTTAGGTTGCCATCTGATCCGATTAAAATATTTTCTGGCTTGATATCTCTATGGATAACACCTTTAGAATGGCAGTATTTGATTGCTTCTACAATTTGCATTATGTAAAAAGCAGAAGTCTCTTCATCGAAACGATCATTTTCTCTAAGTATTTTAAACAACTCACCATTTGGTGCATACTCCATAACTAGATATATTTTAGCTTTGTCGTAAAAAAATCCGTATAATCGAAGAATATTGGGATGTCTTAAATGAGATTGTATTTCGATTTCGCGTCTAACTTGGTGTTCTATTTCTGCTTTTGCTAAATGTGACTTGTACATTACTTTAATAGCAACAATGAAATGTGTTTTCTTTTCTCTTGCGAGATAGACTCTTCCAAATTTCCCAGTTCCAAGAGGCCTTCCAATTTCGAAATCATTGATGGACCAATCACTTTGTTGTCCTCTAGACATCAACAATTCTAACTTTTGTTGAGCGAGAGTATTCTGTGGTCTGTTTTCTCGCCTCAACATTGTTGATGCTGACATGGAAATATGTTAAACGGCCACATTATCAACGGAATAGTATCCATTTCGCAGAGAAATATTATTATTTTACCAATTGTGGACAATATACTTGTAAAATGCTTCATTTTAAAAAAGTTAACAGAATTAAATCTCATTTTGAGTTTCAATCCATACTTACATATTTTCATCTAGGAAGTAAATGATGGTCCGAAACAGCTCCAAGAATGTCTCTATGTTAGTTAAATACCAACAAATTTAATTCAATTTTATTATTGGTAATCAATTTGATCAATTTATGCATTTATATATAAAACATAATGCATTCATTAAAGTACTTATAATCTGGGCATTGTGTTCAAGATATTTTGGATTCTCTCTTCAATATTTCTTGAGTGAGATTCTTAGAATAAAGTCAGAATATAGAGCTATTCAAAATGAGAGGCTATTCATATCTTGCCTTTAATAATATGAATAATTAATTGGATGGATGTCATCGTAGCTCTTTAACTACTTTAACTTTAGCATAGAAAGGCAGTGTTACTTATCTTTCTATCATAAATGGCCTTCCATTTTGAGAACAATTCCATTCTTTTTTTAGTTTTTTTTTGGTAAAAAAAAATGAATGATAGGAAAATAGTAGAGGCATTCAAAATGTATCAAAAAAAGCCACAAAGATCTGCTGTTGTGGCCTTGAAAGAGTACCTTAATGCTGTCTCTGATCAAGAAGCAATGCTTGAACATATTATAAACGAAATCATGAAATTGATTGGCGACGAAACAAACGTTGATAAAGAAATCATTGAGAAAGTACTTACCAACATTCAAAAGCAAAATTCAATATCTCATCAAGTTTTTGATTTTCAATCTGCATTCGACGCTCCTAAGTTTGAATTCGATATGAACACACAAAACCTTGTTCCATCTACTCAACCAAAGTCAATTCTCGGAAAAGGACCAAGTAAAATCTCTCTTTACAGGGAAAGATTTCAAATCTTAAAATATTCACTCATAAATTCCAAAGCTTTCGCCAAATCAGCACTTAAATTCTGGTCAGATGACGATGGAAGCCTCTCAATCGTTGATATTGCAACTTTAGTTAGTAAACCACACGATTCTACAGTAGTTTTTATTGGAATTCTTGATTACGAAGGCGAGGTATACACAGTTGAAGATGAATCCGGCGTAATAAATCTTGCAATTAGTCCAGAATGCCAATTCTTTGGAGGAATTCTTCCAGTTGGCTGCATTGTCGTTGTTCAAGGCAAAGCATTAGGTGATTATGTCAATGCTCTTGTTATTGGACATCCTCCTGCTCTTACAACCAGTGATTTCATGAACAAATTCTGGTCATTACCATATGATCCATTTGGATGGAACTTAAATAGGGAATCAATGAGTAATTTGCAAAGTATCTTACATGAAGAACATGAAAATGCTCTTATTCTTGTTTTCTCTGATGTTTGGATCGATGTTCCATCATGTGTAACAGAATTCAGTCATGTTCTTCAAAATTACGACAGTTCTCCACCAAACATGATCATATTGTGTGGTAGCTTCACTCAAAAACCACTTCCTTTCAATGGAATGAAACAATTTGAAAGAGATTTCAGAAAATTCATCAAAAAGATCTCAGATGAACATACAGCAATGATACAGAACTCCAAGTTCGTATTTATTCCATCGTTAACAGATCCAGGAGCTCCAAAAGTCTTTCCAAGACTTCTTTTCCAAGATTCAATCAAAAACATGTTTCCTGAAGCAATTTTCATGTCAAATCCATGCAAGATAAGATTTTTAAGTAGAACAATAACTGTATTCAGAGATGACATCATGTCCAGACTTGCAAGAGCTTCTCCACGCACTGTTCCTGAAGAGAATGAGCACGAAAACTTGTTAATTACAATTATTCACCAAGCTCATTTAACTCCAACAGATCTCGCACACGCACCAGTTGCATGGGAATACGACCACACAATGAGATTGTTCCCTGCACCAGACTGCTTGATTCTAGCTGATGCAGCAGCACCATGGAGATCTGAAGAAGGAGATACAGTTGCCTTCAACCCTGGCCAATTCGGAAATGGAGGAACATTTGGTCTTTACAGTCCAGCTGAAAATACTTGTCTTCTTCAGAAACTGGCTTAATACATATATATATAAATCTTGTAAACTTATATTTTTTTGTAAATAATAAAGAAGAAAACTATATTAAAAGTTTGTGTAATTTGTTTGTGATGATATTGTTTGGATGTCTCTCAGATGAAAAGCCAAATCCAGATTCTGGAATCAGTTAATGATGTTATGATAATATGGCTCTTCAGAGGTCAGAGAATGAAAAACGAGTTTATGGTGGAACTAAGTTCGTTTTATTCATTTAAGCAGCAAATATATGTTATTTTTTATACAACTTTATTAAAAAGTACCATATTTTCTTAATTAAACCTAATTTTCCTCCGCAATTGAAAAACTCCCAAAATGTTGAAATCAATTACATATATAAAAACTTAATCGTATGGAAACAACGGAACTTCTTATTACATATGGTGCAAATATCAATGAAAAAAATTATTACGGAGAAACCACTCTTCTTATTGCAGCCTGTAATAACATTTCTCAATTCAAATTTCGAAAACTCAAAATACATTAGAGCATTTGGATCCAAAAATAATTGTACTATTTCTGCAGATAACTGTGCATCAAAGTAGAACCATTCTTAACTATCAGAGCCAAACAGATAGTCATATGGCTGTACGAATTTGTATTCATGAATCCATATACAGACGTATTCCTCATAATAGCACAGAAATTTGATACCCTTGAAGGAAATTTAAGAATAACAACCTAAGAAGTAAATAAACTACTGAGAAATATACAAACAATTTATTAAAGTCATTACCATAAGAGGTAATCAATATATAATCTGACATCATATGAATTAATTCCACAGTTAAAAAGTCTGTTATTAGTAATAAACAAATACTTTTTTTCTGGTGTATATGTATGCCATAATGATGCAGATTGAGATACAGTAACATTAACACAGATGAAATCCATTGGATTAATAAATCCGCCACGATTTCCATGCATTGCCATAGCCCACCAACCTAATCTGGAACCAAAAGTGTGAACAACGTACTTGGATGAGATTAATTGATATAATCCACACTTCTTTGACTCATCATCGTCGTAAACAAGTGTTGAATTGGCTTTTTCTGGTATTTTCGCACTTCGATGAGTAATAATTTGGAATTTTTCTGGAACTCCACATCTCCAGAGTTTCTGATAGTATCTTGATGATGACACCATCTCGTCATCATCGTATTCTTTAACTTCTACAGCAAATTCATTTTTCAAATTTTGACATCTATTTTCTGGCTGATTTTTTGATCCAAACAAATAATTTCCCAAGTAATAGGCAGCATGGAACCCAAATTCGGCTCTTAAGAAGGGAGCAATCGAAAAATGAGTGTAAATAGCTTGTGGCCACGTAATATTATTTAAAATGATGTTATTGTTTTTGTAACCTAATTCAGAGCAACTAAATGTGTAATCTGTCGATATTACAGTTCCTTGCATTTCGTTTCGGATGTTAAAAATTACACTTGGTAATTTAAATGGAAAATAACTGTGATTTACATAAATATAGCGTTCCGTTGCGATTGCAATTGCTAATGCGTGATAAAGCATCGTCATTCTATCTTCTAATTCGTAATTTTTTACATCAACGTAGATATATCCGTCAGCATTCAATGAAGAAACTGATTCTTCGTATTTTTTAATCACTTCTGATGCATGAACAATCTCGTAACATGATACTTCACTTTTATTATTATAGCAATCAACAAATCCTTTTGACCGTGTTGGTAATTTCATATGAGATTGAGCGCGGATGAAATCTACTAGTTTACTATCTTTCTTCACTATTGGAAAATCGAGATCAAAATCAATCTTTGAGTAATTTTTAATGTAATCATTCTTATTTTGAACGTAAGATCGTGATACAATACTTCTATCTTGCATTGATAGTTGTAAGCATGCAAGAAGTAACAAACTTAAGATTATTGCTAATCGAAAAAAGTTACCAACTCGCATCTGAATTTTTTACCAAGAGAATTATACGACCAACAATAATTAGTTCATCACTTGATTTATAAAAAGCAATAAACAATAAGATTTCAAAATATCCAAGAACGAAGTATTTATTTTAATAATTCTCAAAATCTATTTGAATATGAGTCCTTGTTTCAAATGTGTTTTACGTTGAATATCTGCACAACATACACTTCCAATGCATTGCTTGATGATGACATTGTTATCGATAACAATTACGGAAGAATATTTTTTAAATTCAAATTGATAAAAATGTTTGGAAATTTGATGCTATTCTCACTTCCACACTTAATTCTTAGTTAAATTAAGCTATCTTTAAAATAATATATTTTTTGAAATAAATAATATCTAAATTCTATTTTTTATGATATAAATATATATACAAAATGATTATTGCTCTTCTTCATGGTTTGTGAAGTCATCTGGTGTAAATATTCCAATTGATCCGGAATCTGATGTATCTGCAACAGCAACGAAGTTCTGATTTGCAGAAATCATCTGAATCTTTTCTTCTTCATTTCCTATAACATCTATTACGTGCATTTTCTCTACATCCAGAACCATCAAAGATCCATCAGCTCCGCCCGAAACAGTGACCTTTCCAGAGAAGCAGGGAGCAAATGTAATATAATGTACAGCGCCTTCGTGTTCGAAATTTCCTGATGCAACGATTTTTCCATCAACGAAAATGGAAAGACCATTTTGAGTAGCTGCAGCAACAGTATTGCCTTGGCATGCAACACAGTGAACAACTGCGGGGTTGACTTGTTGTCTTTGGTTACTTAATTTATATGATTGGAATTTTTTAGATGATAGGGTCCATTCACCTACAGATAAGTCAATATAACCAGCAATTATTTTGTCTTTGTTCTTAAAACAAAGAGAATTGCATACTGGTGGTAAAATTGGAGAAGATTGCGGTTTTTTAAGTATGCGCTTATCAGTAAGAATGATATCATTAGACATTGTTGCTACAGCTATTACAGAGTCATTGATTGCAAAATCAGAAATTTCACTAGGTGCCTCGAAAATTAAATTTCCGGAATTTTTTTCACGAATGTCATGTTTAAATATAGATGCTTCTGTTGCTGAGTATACAATATTGTCATCTGCGACCTTTACACCGATTAATGCGTCATCTCTCATGAATTCAAAAATTTGAGTTTGTTTTTGGATATCTAATACTGCAAATTTACCTTCATCACATCCAACAGCAACCATATTACTTGTTCCTTTGAAACAATCAATGCTATCTACAAGATCTCCAACATCCATTATTTTTTTGCTCTGGATTTCTACCTGAAATTTTAATTAATTCCCCCTAAAATTTTCATTTTTCTGTTTTGTTAAAGTATATCGTAGATCACATACTTATATTCCACTTTTACCATTAAATATATTCCAAATTTTCAATATATAGTCCAAAAAGTCGATTTGACCGAAAATAAAAACCGCTCTTTATTTTTTTCAAAATGTTTCAAGTTATCTTTTTTGCAAAGGCCTCTCTGAGCGCGGCACCTGGTCTTCCTAAGAACAAGAATGTCCAGTTCATTGATGAAGGCCTTCGTGGACGCGTAGAGCATAATTTTTCACCAGATCAAATGAAAAGTATCGAAAACAAAGCAGAAAAACACGAATTCGAAACAGAAATTTCTAAATTGATGAATATTTTAATTGACTCACTTTATGAGAACAAAGATATCTTCCTTCGTGAAGTAATTTCAAATGCAAATGATGCACTTGACAAAATCCGTTTCCAAGCAATCAAAGATCATAAAGCACTCGACCAAGGCAACAGAGAGCTCCAAATTTTGATTGATGTCAATGAAGATGATAGAACAATCACAGTTACAGATACAGGCATTGGTATGACAAAACGAGACTTAATAGAGAATCTTGGTAGGATTGCACGTTCAGGTACAAGCGAATTTAAGAAAATGATTCAATCTGGAGATACATCTTTAATTGGCCAATTCGGTGTTGGTTTCTACTCAACATTCCTTGTTGCCGATAAAGTTACTGTTATTTCCAAGCACAACGATGATCCAAAACAATGGATTTGGACAAGTGATTCATCAGCTCAATATACAATCGCAGAAGACCCTCGTGGAGTCACTTTAGGACGTGGTACACAAATTATCATGCATATCAAAGAGAAAGATTACCAATATCTCAACAGAGATCGCTTAATTGCAATTGCTCGTCATTATTCCATGTTCGTCGACTTCCCTATCAAGATTTGGCAATACCACGAAGAGAAAATCTGTACAGACGAGATCCCAGAAGCCGAATCTTCAGAAACAACCGAAGATGATATTTTTGATAGCCAAGATACGGTCAAAGATGAGGATTCTGATGAAGAAATCGTTACCATTGCCACACCTGAAGACAGAGCATCACCAAAGAAGATCGTTTGGGAGTGGGAACAGATTAATAATCGTCAACCAATTTGGATGCGCGATAGGAACGATATTAGCGAACTTGAGTACAACGAATTTTATAAAGGAGCATTCAAGGATACTAAGAATCCTATGTTTAAGATTCATACTTGCGAGGAAGGTCGAATTACCTTCAATGCCTTATTATACATACCATCAACCGCACCATCTTCCGACAAAATGATGCAACATACAACACGAAACGTCAAGCTTTACGTCAAAAGAGTCCTCGTTTCCGATGAATGGAACGATGAATTACTTCCTGACTACTTACACTTCATTAAAGGCGTTATCGATAGCAGCGACCTTTCTTTGAACGTTGACAGAGACCATCTTTCAAAGGAGGGTACATTAACTTTAATTAAACGTCGTATTACAAATAAAATCATCTCCGAGCTACAGCATTCATTCCAATTCGAACCAGGCTTATACTTCCAATTTTACAAGCAGTATTCTGCAGCTCTAAAGTACGGAGTTATACAAGATCAGAAGAATAAAAATTCTCTGGCCAAACTTTTACTTTTCTACACATCTTACTCCCCGAACTCTATGGTAACCCTCGACGAGTACGTTAGCCGCATGAAGACCGGCCAAGACAAGATTTACTTCATTGGATCTGCCAACAGAGAATCCGCCGCTGTTTCACCTTATCTCGAGAGTTTGTATTCACGCGGCATCGAAGTAATCTTCGCAATCGAGCCAATCGATTTGTACTGCCTTGAAAGAATGGATACTTTCGATGGCTACAAGTTTGAGAACCCCGAGACACAAAACGACAAAGGTTCTTTGACAAAGGACTTAATGGCCTGCAATTTGACTCAAAGAGAATGGTCTGTAATTCAAAGATGGTTCAAAAAAGTGCTCGGAGATAAAATTGAAAAAGTGTCACTTTCATCACGTCTTAAATCTACTCCAGCAATTTGTACAGCTACAAACTGGGGTTACACAGCTTCCCACGAGCGTCTCATCAGAGCACAGACCGTTTATGACCAGAAACTTACAGATAATTTGCAGATGAACAAAAAGATCCTTGAAATGAACCCAGAACATCCAACAATCATCGAATTGTTCGATAGAATAAAGAACAATGAAAAAGATCCGCAATTAGTTGAAGACGCCAAGTTAATTTTCGAAACAGGTTTGTTGGCAGGCGGATTCACAATCGATGGTGTACTTAACTATACATTGAATGTATTTAAGATGCTGGGAAGATCAAACGGAATTGAACAGAAGGTGAAAGAATTCGAGGAAGCAAACAAAGTTTACTACACAACAATGGAAGACGAGTTCAAGGCAACAACTAACATTCCTAAGAGACAGAAGCCTAAGAAGGCTGATAAAAAGAGAGAAACAAAACCCGAAAACGTCAATGAACCCTAATATATTAATTTTTATGTAAATTATATATAAAACAAACAAACAAAGTTTTTTTATTTTTTATTTTTTTATAACATTGCATCATTTTTTAAGTCCCACATTATTATAAAACAGTTGACTATAGAAACACTCAGACTTATTTGTTATAGTTATATATAATGAAAATAGTTGAAGATAGCTTCATATAGTCTGTCCTGATAAGGAGAATTGCTGATGATTGTAAAAGAATATTAATACAAGTTTTGATATTTCATATGCATTTGAGATGGCTACTGTATAGTCAGCCGTTTTCAATCCCATTAGCCGTTCTGTAACCGCTGGATAAGATGGTGCAGGGTAGTTGGGATTCTCAAGCACAAAGTCAAGGAGTTTCCTCTTCTGAGTGGATCCTTCATCTAATGCCACGCATACATACGGCATGTAGCTTATTGAGAACCTATTCATGATCTTCTTATGTACGTCATTAGCCGTTTGAATCATAATCTCTCTGAGCTTGTCTCTCTTATAGTGAGGGATCATATCTGTAGCAACCTGAGCTGGCGCCTTATTAGCAACCCTTGTTGCTGTATAGCCAACCAAGAATGAATAAACAATCAAGTTATATAATTCTTCAGATTCTCCAACTAATAAACTAATATTGTTTTTTGCTAAAACAACTACTAATCTAGTGAAGATTCCTTCAACTGTGTATGTACCGGGTTGTTCTAGATAATTTTCGGGTGAATTAAAAAAATTTTGTATGGATTCTTGTCTTTGGTTATCAGGAAAGCATACATGTAGCTTCCCCTTCGCAATACTTTTTTGAGCAAATCATCTCTTTTTTGGAAACCACATTGAAATGTGGTTCCATCTTGCTTTGGGACCTCTGCTGTGCATCCCATAATATAATGTTTGCTAGACCGATCATAACTAATTCTTCGATATTTTCGGTCATCGCCTGGGTATGAATAAAGCTCTAACATAAAACAAAAAATGAAAAAATATATCATTCAAAATTATTTTGTTGTAAAAATTTTTAAAAAATATTATATAAATTAAATAATTAATATTTACTCAAAACGATTAATATTGAAAATTTGAATTTGAATTTAAAATTTTTTGAAACTATTATAATTATCAATTTTGTATATTAATCTGTAATTTTATTTTGAACACGCACCATGTTTGAATATACTCTCTGAACAAAATGTATGGTGCGTATATTTCAATATACGCACCGCTATATCTCCCATTGAATTTTGAGAATAATGATCGATTTTTGATATCGCAAATCACTTTTGCGTATTCTCAAATTACGCACTACACAAAAAATTCAATGAGTTTGCTAATATGAATACGCACCAGATGAAAGATGCATATATTAGATGTTTTTAAGTTAGTAGTATGATAAGTTGCTAAAATTAATAACCATTGTAGATTTTTTAAGTTCCAAAAAAATTTTGAAAAGGAAAAAATAAAGTAAATAGATACGTTTTTATTTTTATTTTTTTTTAGAAAAAAATATAAGTGCGGAAGTGAAGTGCGAATAATTTTTTGTTCCGCATATGGTTTTTGCGTAAATAGCGCACCCTTATTCTTAAGAACAGAATTTGACTCAAAAATAACAAAAAGGTGCTTACTTTTTTCATTTTTAGGAGGAAATCAAGAGATCATGAGTGAATGTTTAAAATATCAAAAACCAGATGAAGAATGCATGAAATATGCAATTATTTCACACAACATTGATTTTGTTACTTTCTTAATGAATGAATATAATATAGAGATTGATTTATTTCCTTGCGAATTTTATAATAATCTTGATTCAATATTAGTTTATTTCGATCAAACTAATAATATTAACAATTTTTTGTTTATTCAGCCATCCTTAATATTCCATCAATTTGTGAATATTTCCTCTCACATGGCACAAACATCAATGAAAAAGATAAATATGGTAAAACTGCTCTTCATTATGCAGCATATAATAATAGTAAAGAAACTGCCGAATATCTTATTTCACATGGTGCTAACGTCAATGAAAAAGATATATATGGGAAAACCACTCTTCATTATGCAGCAATTACAAATCATAAAGAAATCCTCGAACTTCTTATTTCACATGATGCAGACATCAATGAAAAAGATATATATGGGAAAACCACTCTTCATTATGCAGCAATTACAAATCATAAAGAAATCCTCGAACTTCTTATTTCACATGATGCAGACATCAATGAAAAGGATATAAATGAAAAAACTGCTCTTCATTATGCTGCATTAAATAATTGTAAAGAAACAGCCGAACTTCTTATTTCATATGGCGCAAATATCAATGAAAAGGATAAAAATGGAAAACCTGCTCTTCATTATACTGCATTAATTAATTCTAAACAAACAGCCGATCTTCTTATTTCACATGGTGCAAATGTAAATGAACAAGATGATGAAAAATCAGGTCTTCATTAATCATTACATTATAATAGTAAAGAAACAATTGATCTTCTTATTTCACATGGTGCCTTCTTTACAGTTCTGTTTTTTTCCAATACTAAGATTAAATTTTTATAGCATATAAACAAGCGTCTTAAGGGTGCACCTGTATGTACGTTTATTTGAGAGGAGGAGGATTACCCTCTCAATTTTGAGGGATTCGTTAGTTTATTTTCTCGATGAATATGCAATAAAATTTGATTTTTACCTTATCAATATACTTCATATAATATACACATGTTCATGTAAAAACTTTTTTCCAAAATCCTCAGGAATTAAGGGATTTTTGAATTTTAAGAATTTTTTTCGAATTTTTTCGAAAAAAAAATATTTTCAGAACAGCCTTAACGGCTAAGATTTAGGAACAATGTTCAGTATCAAAAAGAAAGGAGGTCTGATATAGACAACATATATCGTTGAAGGGTGAAAAAATCTCTAATATTTGAGCCCAAAATTTCAAATTTTAATTTTTTGAAAAAAGAGGCCACCCGTATGTACGTTTATTTGAGAGGAGGAGGATTATATTTTTGAAAGGGTGAAACATTATGAATATGTTAATTATATAATAATATGTATTATTATAAAAAAGAAAAAATAAAGCACGTTAAAATTTTTCTTTCTTGATTTTTTACAAAATCTACTTAGAATTATGCAAAATATGACTAAATAATTATAAATTTCAAGTTAAATTTTAATTATGATAAATAATTTAAATTTCAAAATGTCAAGTTCAGTTCGACTATGTATGTAGTAATTCCTCAATAAAGTGCCAAAACCCTATTAAAATATATGAACATTTTCAACATTTTAATGTTTTTATTTAAAAATTTGATGGAATATGAGCTTCAAACAATTATTATGTAAATAAAAATAATTAAATATATGTATTTATTCGTATTACAACCGTAGTAAGTCGATTCTTCCTTTCTTCTACTGAGATTTGAATTTGATTTCGAATTGTAAAGAGATTCAAAGGGAAAATACTAGCGGATAAAAACTACCTCCATGAAAGGGTCATAATGGACTCAAGTTGTATTTTTTGATATTTTTTGCTTTTCGAGCCTAAATAGGTAGCCAAGATAATGCCTAAAAATAAGGTTCTAAATTCTGAAGTTTACATGATCCTCTCGTGTGCACCCTTAATATACTATAAAAATTCTCATTAAGAACATTCTCATTATATATGCAAAAGAATCGAACTTATTGTTATAGCATTTGACAAATAAATCAAAATTTGATCTCCAGAAACAAGTTAGCAAAAAGAAATGAAAACAAAATAGAGGTAATATAGTGTATAGTTTTGCAATGAACTTTATTTATGTTAGTGTTGCAGTATATGAGTTATTTATTGAATTTTATTGATGAAATGCGTATTGGATTTTCGATATTTACATTTGCACTATTTTTCTCACCGCTTTTCATGATGTTATTGAGTGAATTAGAAGAATGAATATTGATGCAGCTATCATTGCCAGTTGTAAAGAATAAATAATTACAAGTATTTTCTTGAATAAAACTGTCACATATATCAACACTTGATGATGCAGTTCCCACGATGATTCCCCAGTCTCCTTTATGAAAATTTTTGATAATATTTATTCTAGAGAGTTTGCATGTCACTTGACAGTTGTAAAAGAGACATTCTGCATATTTGGCAATTTTTGGTGCAATTTTGCTATTTTCTGACAACTTCTCAATTTTTTGGTGCTCTATAACTTGCGAAAAATACTTCGCCGTAAAATAAACCCGTTTTTTCTTTTACGACCTCTTTTGTTAAAAAAGTGTCAGAAAGAGGGTTAAGCGGAATATAAATCATATCATATGTTTAGTTAACCGTTTAATATGCATGCTAAATGCCTAGTGAGAGAATATCACTTATTTCTATCGAACCATACAAAGAAATAGAAAAAAGACAATGCAAAATGATCTTTCCAGATAATTGTGTAGCTTGATGATACATTCCAGAATAAAAGAATAATGATAACAATATTGAGAATTGCTGATGGATGGGAAAGAAAAATTAATGCGATTTATAGATGGTTTCTGATTTAAATGCTTAATTAAATAAAATTTATCTATTACCAATAGATGATCTCAATTACATATTATCAATTTGAAAATTAGAACAATTTTCCTTAATAAATTTGACTTTTCAGTGAAAATATAGTATGGACTTGGCATTTATTCTTTTATTTTAGAATGCACGTTATTAAATTTTCAAAATCTTTTATGTACCTGTTCTCACCAACAGGTTTTACTGATATAGTACGAGGGCCTAATGTGATATATGAAGCCCCATCCACTATTGCAGCTTTCAAGGAAAGAATAGAATTAGTTAAGGAAGAAGAAATTAAATTACGAGAAAAAATCAAGAAACTATCATTCAAATCCAATCAACTATCATTATTAATAGATAAAACGCTCCAAGAAAGAGAAGAAAACCCAATTGTTTTAGGTCCTTTAAAACCCGTTATTCCTCCATTGGCAAATATTGAAAATGCAGCAGATAAAATACTTCAAAAACTATTGTTACAGTCAGATACAACGCAAATATTAAACTATCTCAACGAAAATCCAATTTTTGAACAATTAATATTTTCTCAAAAGTCAATTTTTGATGATAAACTACAACTTGCGCTTACTCATGCTACACCAGAAGTTCAGATACTGTTTTTAAACAAAATGACAGAGAGATTTACTAAAATACAAAACTATTTCACAGATACACTTAAATTCATTACAGATCTTGCACATGAAAAAGAACTAATAGATATGTTAACTACTCCTAATACATCTGAAACAGAATTTATGAAATTTTATTTTTCACAATTAAATAAAATTTCTGAACGTCTTAATTTCGATTCCTTTAAAGTAGTTTACACGTGTTCTGAAGGAGAGACTCTATTTTATCCAGATCTCAATCAATCAAGGTTTATTGACATTGATGATTCATTATCTGGCCAATTAATTCATAATGATTGTTACGATTTTATCAATGATCCAACAGCATCAAGAAGCTTTGAAATAACATGTGAAGCACCTATATTTAATACAACATCAGCTCATTGTCTTCCTTTGCATTTGAATCAGATGCATGTTGCTTTGTGTTTGTTGTTTTCGAATAGAAGAGTTAATTCCATTGAAAAAGAGTTTATTTTAGCAACAATGAATTTAATGAAGCCATTGATATCTTTATGGAGATTTGCATTCTTACATGCTTCTCCTTTCTCATATACGAAATTAGCCAAATCAATTTCGAATTTGCGAGAACATGAAAATTCAGAAAATGAATTGTTTTCAAATGTCTCAAAAGAAGCTTGCTATTTATGTAATGCGAAAGTTTGTAGAGTTCTAGCTGTTGAAGGTGCTGAAGTTGATTTCCCATCGCTTCCGATTTTACCTGCTGAACCTTCTCTCATTAGAGAAAGTTATGAAAACAACATTGTTAATGCAATAAGAAATCCGAGATCTCAATCTTTTTTCAACAAAAAATGTGATGATGAAATAACTTTACCAAAAATCACATCACTTTTAGTTGTTCCTGTCAAAACATTGCCTGTTATTTTAGCTATTTATAATCCATTGTTTTCTAATGAGTTTTCTAATATAACTGTTGGAATGTCAAGATTGTTTGCTGAATCTTTATCTCCTTTATTGTTGCAGTACAAACTTAGAAGGCAACTGAATGTTGCAAAGAAAGAGCAACAAAGAGAATTAGGATCTTTTCCATTTTCTTCTGATTTTTTGTTGAAATTTACAAAAGAAATTGGAAAAAGCGATTTCATTGAAAATGTTTCGAAATTTTTGAAGATGGAAATCAATATTTTCTTGAAACTAGATGATGATTACTACGAAAACATCATAACGAAAGAAAAAACTGAGAAAGAAAACTTGACATTGGAAAATGAAGAAGAAGATTCCGAAAATTTGAAGATTTTTCATGTTGTTTCACATGATAAAATGATTTATTTGAAAGCAACTTATGCACCTCAAGAGGATGAAGAAAGATTTGATAACCATATTAATTGTTTAGAGACATTTGTTCTTATGTTATCTGTTTATTTGCAGAACAAAGAAAATGAAAAAGTCATCAAAATAATTGATTCTCTTTCAAATCCAAGTGATGAGAAAATGTCTGAACTTTTGGAATGTAAAATCACATCTGATAAAAAGAGTATGAGATCAGCAAGTGTTACAGCAAGTGTCTGTGATGATGGAACTCCTATTTATGTTGCAAGTGATAAAAAACTTAATGATAAAGAGTTCGAATTACTTGAATCTTATGCTGAATGGCAAGCTTTTGCTAAATCTCATGAAAAAGAGAAAGAAAGGAATGATGTTTTAGTCGCTGCTTTTATAAGAAATAAAGCAACAGATGTATTCGATTGTGATGTCCATATGTTGTCTGATTTCTTGACTACAGTAACTTTTTCGCATTCTGAAGGAAGTTTTGCTCCAACGAGAATATATGAAACTGTAAATTCTTTGTTGATCAATCCAACTTGGAAAGAAATGTTTAATGACACAGAAAAGGTTATTATTGGTTTGTTGGCTGTTACTTATGGTTGTATGGAACAATGGACAAAAGTTGATTCAAAAAGTTATCAAAAAGAAATTCAAAAATTGCCTATTTACTGTCACAAGTTTGCTTGTAGAGTTATTGACCAATTATGTACTAATTTAGAAGAAAATGATGTTCTTCAAATATTGGAAACTATCAAAGATTATTCTCTTAATAAAACAGCAAGTGAGGAGTGTTTGATTATTGCTAAACTGAAACTATATTCCTTAGATAATTACAAACCAAGTATTGTTGGAAAAATCGCTGTTGGAAAAGCAATTATTTATGTTTCACAATCAATTTTAGCAAGTTTAGATCCACAAGCTTCAGTTGAAGAAATGAACACAAAATATAATGAAGAATCATTGAAACAAATCTTGTTTGCTGCTGAAAAAGTTTTAATTCCAATGCTCACATATTTATCTTCTAAAAATACTGCAATATTAAAGATGCTCTCTAATGTTAGAGAATCCATGAAATTGCTTAGATCAAAATGATAATCCATTCTTAAGAGGCTTCATTTTTCATTCCATTGTTAAGTTATTTTATATTTTTATGTTTTAATTTACTTGATGGTTAATCTGAATAAAATGTTAATACTTTCTAAATATGTTAAAGTTTACCTATTGTAATTATAGATGGTTCATAGAATTATATAAGAAAATAATATCTCGCAAAAATGTTTTTAGGTTTTGCACAAGGTCAAAGATGAATAATAAATAGATATTGAAACATATAAATTATATTAGTTTGGTAAATAATCATTTTGTTGATCATTTAACTCTATATCATTATCACTCTTATCTTTATTAGAGTGACGTTTCTTTCGGATGACAATTACTGTAATGATAATAGCAGCAATAATAATAACTCCGACAACAACACATGGAATTACAATTTTGATGATATTGTTCGATTTGTTTGTGCTATTAGATTTTTCGTCGGTTTCATTGTTATTATTACTATTATTTATAATATTGTTATCATAGTCATCAAGTTGTCTTACATTTAGATCTGGATCTAATGGATCACGAACAAAATGCATTTCGCTCAATTTCACAGTTCGGCAGAACAACTCTGGATGAACACATGTAATATTCGTATAACCTGAATAGTAAGTAGATTCTGCTGTTATTATTTTGTTTGGATTTTCTTTGGTGCAAGTAAGATTTGTCTGATTTCCATAGATATCTTTTAATTCTGGAGTTATCAATGTAAAACTTTCATATTTGTTGCAAATATATTTTCGACAGTATGCATATCCTGGAATCATAGCTTCTCCTTTTTCACAATATGCTTCATATGGAACTTTAACCATTGTATAATCAAAAATATCGTGATGGCATAGCCTATTCTTTTTCAATGGGTTATAAAACTCTTGGTTAGTGCACAATTTTTCCCAGTCTCCACTACAATCTGATCCACGTTGGAGACCAAAATCCAAAGCAAAATATTTAAAATCAAATCCAACATAATCGGGCTGATAATAAAATGGAATCATTTGGTATTCGTCTTGTTGTTTAAGATAATGTTTTGGAAAGACAAGTTGTGGTGGTCCTAGAGCAAAGTCTTTAATTGGTTTGCCTCCAATTTGGGATTCTGGATTTCCCCAAACTAATGGTTGTGCCATTGACCAGTTGCATATATAGTTTCCTGTGTCTTGAAGTATGGCAATTGTTGCATCTGTAATTCGTTCAAATTTCATTCCATTACTTTGTGTAGACATTCCAATATTCAAATCTGAATAGAATCTGCTTGCTTTAATATGAAAACCCTTTGTATCAGGGCCACCACCATCTTCTATTTCGATACCTGATGTACAATTCTTATCATCACCTTCAAATACATCTATACCATAATGTTTTTGTGCGAAAATATGAGAATATGGTCCAGTGATAAATTTGTATGTTTTTCCATACTTTTTCATTGAACAGAATGCTCGTCTCTCTGGATAAAACAAAGTAGAATTTCTATAATGATAGTTCTGTTGTAATGCATATAATGCATGTGTAAATTCATGAAACATTACATTAGCAAATGCACTTGTGTTTGTTTCAAATTCTGAAACATAATTTGGAAGTTCAAGGTCTTTGATTAGCACATGGGCTTGCAGAGGGCGTTCGAATTTATCACGTGTTAATGCACCTGCCTTGGCAATTACATCAGATCCTCTTGGATACCTTATAATTTTTACAAAATATTCAATATCGTAATCTTGATTTGGAGTTGGAATGACTCTGAGGAATTTTTCGGCAAATGATTTGAGATTATTCATTGCAATAGTTAGATTTGTTAAATCTTTGTTAGAAACAATCATTTCTTTTGTGCATGTTACACTTTTACTTGAGGTGAGTTGAATAACTTGACCTACTTCATAACATGAAAGTGATTCACGGAGTTCGCCTGTGATGTAACTGTAGTTTAACTTGATTCGGATGTTCTTCCATCCACTTTCGTCAAGATTTTGTCTCGTTCCGTATGGATAAGTATCAACAACAATAGGTTCTGGCAATATAAGTTGTCCATCATCTGTAAAATATGCGTTATCGAACGATTTAACAAGCAAAAACAACATAAAAAGCATTTTTTATTTTAAAAATTTTATTTCTTTCAATTTTTCCGATAATCTTATAACATAATTAAATTGAATCGGGTTTTGATATTAAAGTAAAGACTTGTTAATATATTTAAATTCATTTTTATAATGATCAGGATTAACCTTATTGTATTGATTAATAACAATTTTATCTGATTTTAAATCGTATATTTTAAAAATTATTCTTTTACCAATTTTAACTATTTTTGAAACGTAAATATCGGATTTTTTACAGGATTTTCCTTCATCGTCTTTGATAATGCTAATTAATGATGAACAAAATGATTAATTATAAAGGAATTATATTCCTTTATCCTTACAGAACAGTGTTTTTAGCTAACTTTTATTCAGTAATTTATTCTAATCTTTTGCATTTCTTCTGAGCTGGATATTAGTATGAAAGATGATAATGTAAAAATTACAGACAAAAATATTTAATTTAAGATAAATTTTACCAATACTGAATATTTAATTTGTCAAGAAGTTATCGCATGAATGAGCTATTTGGTCTTCTTCGATTTCTTCTGTTGTAAACAGAAATTCATCAAAAGTGACACCTCAGAAAAGCTAAAATATTGAATTTTTGGAACTTTTGATAGAGCACGTTTTTAAATATTAATTAAAGTAAATGTATATTTTGTAAAGATTCTTTTTAATAAAAAAATAAAATTTTGAAGAAGAACACAAAATCTTCTGAAAAATAATATCACATAAACTCATATTATTTTCTAATATATAACTATTTTATATAAAAATCAAATTCAATGATCTTAAAGCGAAGGATAAACCTCAAAATTTACGAATATAAATGAGTGGGAATATAATGCTTATCTATCATAAAACCATATGAAATATTCCCACTCATTATATTCGTAAATTTTGAGGTTTATCCTTCGCTTTTAAGATCATTGAATTTGATTTTTATATAAAATAGTTATATATTAGAAAATAATATGAGTTTATGTGATATTCTTTTTCAGAAGATTTCATTCTATATGCCTATGAAAAGTACTCTCAAAACTAACTTTTTCCTAATTATAATTAAATCTAGAATATTGTATTATGCTTAGTATTATTTCATTTTTCTCATTCAATTTAGAATTTACAAATGTCAAAAAATTGAGAGCTGTCACTTTTGATGAATTTCTGTTTATTACACTTCTTGTTCGTTAGCGTTATCTTCATGATTTGATTTGCGTTTCAAGATAACGATAGTTACAACAACAATAATAACAATGACAACAGCAGCAGAAACTCCTCCTGCTACATATGGAACTATTGATTTGCCATCTTTCTCTGATGATGATTCAGTAGTATTAGTAGTAGTTGAATTTGCAGTATTTAAATATGGATCATCAAGTTGTTTGACACTCAAATCTGGATCGAATGGATCACGAACAAAATGCATATCGCTTAACTTTACAGATCTGCAAAATAGCTCTGGATCAACACATGTAACATTAATGTAAATCTCAATCTTTCCAGGAAGTTTAACCGTCATTGTTCGATTTGGATCATCTTTGGTGCACGTGATGTTTATTAAATTTCCATCATAATCTCCATAATCAGTCGTAATCAATGTGAAATTATCATATCTATTACAAATATAAGGATGACAGACCCCATCATTTGGAATCATTGCTTCTCCATCCTTGCATTTGACTGCTGGATATCTCACAGGAGCATAATCAAATTCTTTAAATCTCGAAAGATATGTGAAGTTTAATGGGTTATAAAATGTACCTGAATAAGATTGTGGAGCTTCAAGCTGAAGTAAATATCCGCCGTGTTTGAAATCGAATCCTACAAATGATGGATGGTTGTTGTTAGTATTTACAAAAACTGAATTTGAGTAATAAAGATATCGTTTTGGAAAAACAAGTTGAGGAGGACCAAGGGCAAAGTCTTTAATTGGCTTGCCACCAATTTGTGATTCTGGATTACCCCAAACTAATGGTCTTGCCATTGACCAATTGCAAATGTAATTTCCTGTATCTTGAAGAATCGCTATCGATGCATCTGTAAGTCGGCCAATAAAACTATTGTCGGTATTATAATCAAATTGTATATCCATTTCAAAAAAAAAACACTCTTCCTTTAAGAAAGTTATATGTTGTGCCTCTGAATCCATCATATTCTATTTCTATTCCTGATGGACAAGTCTGGTTGTCATCACCTTCAAATACATCAACACCATAGTGTTTCTGTGCAAATAAATGTGAATATGGAGCAATTAAAAAAATGAACTGTTTACTGTATTTTGTAAGTGAACAATAAACTTTTTCATACGGATATAGCTTTGTTGAATTTCTTGGATGATATCTTCCATAAATTGCGTTACAAGCTTTAAGAAATTCTTTCAAAAGGTTACCCATAAAATAATAATTAGTTTCAGATTCCCACATTGAAACTTCTGATGAAATTGCTGCTTGGTTCAAATATATAGTAGATGTAGTTGGTCTATTATATTCATTGTATGTGTCTGGACTTGCAAGTGAGCTATAACTATATACCGATCCTGGCGGAAATCTAATTACTTTAATAATTAATTCCATGTCATAGTCTTTGTTGGGAGAAGGGAGTACCTTAAGGAATTTTTCCTCAAATTCCTTTAAATTGTTGAGAGTTTTCGTAAAATTAGTTAAATTTAAATTTGAAATTAACATACTTTTGGTACAAGTAGCCTGTTTGCCCATATACTGTATAATTTGACCTTCCTCATAGCATGTTTTTGATTCCCGAAGCTCTCCAGTGACGTAACTCATGTTAAGTTTGATTCTGATGTTTTTCCATTCCTCATCTAGAACTTGACGTTGAGTATTTGAATATTCTGGAACAAATTTGGGTTCGGGAAATATCAGTCGACCTTCTTCGTTGAAATATGCTTCATCTGAACATCGAATTTTGTATAACAATGAAAAAAGCATTTGATATAAAATTTTTTCTGAAAAAATTTTATCGATTTTACAAATATGAATCGTATTTAAATATTATCTTTCATACACTATTTTAGATATATTAATGAACATTGAGGGCAAGTCGATTATAATTTGATCAGAATTAACCTTATTAAATATCTTTTCATAACTGATATTGAAAACATACCATCTTATATAATAAAATTATTTTACAATTATTTTGAGATTCATCATAAGCAAATAAAAATTTGAAATTTAAAAACGCTAAAATTATCTGTTAAAATGATAATATTTATGATAAGAATTAAATTATTAAACATTTTCAAGTATAAACTTTTAAATATTTAGATTTTTCAAAATATTAATTTTTTATTTCTTTAAATAATCAACTATATCCATAAAATTTTTTAATTCCGTAGAAATTATGACATTTTATTGATATGACAATTGAATAAAGATTATAGTGTCAAAGACTCAAGTTGTGTTGACAAGAATAGAAAGCATCACAACAACCAGAGAGTGATAATGACATTTATTATCAGTGAATTAAATATGAAGCTTAATGAGAATTTTTCTATAACAATAATATTATAATTTCACTAAAAATAGATTGATAATAATAAGCAAACATATTATAATCAATCCGATGAATGACTACTAATCTGAGAGATAGTTTTCTTCAGTATCGGGCGTTTGTGCTTCTGCCTGTTTCGTTTTATTAGGTTTGTCTGGTTTGTTTGTGTTTTCAATATTTTCGATATCATCGTTCTTGTGATCATAGACTTCTTCGTCGTCATTTTCTTCATTAGAGTGTTGTTTCTTACGAATGATGATTACAATAATGACAATAACTGCAATAATGATTATACCTAATATAACACATGGAACAACAATTTTGACAACTTTGCCTTTGCTCGATTTCGCGAATGAAATGCATCTCACTCAACTTCACTGTTCGACAAAATAACTCTGGATGAACACATGATATGTTTATGTATGAGCTAATGCTTGAAATAAATAACCTTAAAAAACTAATGCCTGAAATAAATAACCTTTAGCTAACATCAAAACAAATAAATATGGGAAATCCAAAATGAATCGGAATAGGCTTTTCATAATCATCAACATGTGAGTATATCACTTTTTCCGGTTTTTTTTTAGGTTTCCCAACGCCCATTTAACATCATCACTTCATTTTATGTTTTGATGATAAAGAATTATATTACAATATGAGCTATCTAAGAAAAACATTGGTAAACTCAATGTTACTCGGAATGGAAGTCGATTTACTTTTGGTTTTCCATGTGATAATTCTTCAGGTGATTGTACACCATATACAATTAAACTTGTTCATGGAGTGTACTTATTTGAAGCATGGGGTGCATCAGGAACGGCACAAAAACATCCTGATGGGCCAGTATTTCAAGGTTTAGGTGGATATTCATCAGGAATTCTTAAGGTTAATGAACCACTATTGACGATATATTTATATATAGGATCCCAAGCTTTGTTTAATTCCATCAAAGAATCAAGAGGAGAGGCATATATTGGTGGAGGTTCTTCTGATATTCGCCTGTATTCAAATCCCTCATTTGATTGGTTTGACCCTTTGTCTCTCCGCTCCCGAATTTTGATTTCAGGTGGGGTGGTGGGTCAGAATGGCCTGGTTCACAAGGAGGCCACGGTGGAGGATTAGAAGGAGGTGCTAGTAACAGAGATGCAAAAGGAGGAACACAAACAAGAGGTGGAATTGCATGTCATGATTTTTTGGGCATAAATGCACAGAAGGATTATTTGGTATGGCATCATATGTTCCAAATTCAACTGGTTTTGGTGGGATGGGAGGTAATGGATATTATAGTGGTGCTTCTATTGATTATGCAGGTGCTGGTGGTGGAGGAAGTTCATTTATTTCAGGATATGAAGGTTGTATTGCTCTTAATAGTGATGCAGACAACTCTCCAAATCCAAATAACTCTTCTATCCACTATTCAGGTAAATATTTTATTAATCCTATAATGATCCAAGGAAATAATTATATGCCTCTTTACACATCAGATTCTTATGGTATTGGAAATTTAGGACGATGTGTTATTCGAATTACAGTCCTATCCCATTTCATTTGTACCGATCAGCGTAATTATATTCTTGAATTAAATCTTGTTAAAATTTCTTTAGTTTTTATCGAAATGTAATATAAAAATATCATTTTTATTAATTATTTTTTAATCTTTCAGTTTTTCCTAATTACTGTAAGAAAATAGGATTTTCAAATGCAAATTTAATTTTCAGAAGTATTTTTAACTTTCTTATACATTTGCATTATATGATTTCCAAACATATATTTCCATTGGTTATATTTTTTTATACTCCTACTAATCAATATATATTATAACTTTTAAGGAATTTCTTATTCACTGGATTGCCATTCTTCGAATTCGTTCAAACCTTACTCCAAAATCTTGAATTGACATACCGATATTCAAATCTAAATAGAATCTGCTAGCTTTAATGTGTCCACTAGCTGTTCCAACTTCATCACCGCCATCTTCTATTTCGATGCCTGATGTACAATTATTATCATCGCCAACGAAGACATCAACACCATAATGTTTTTGCGCAAACAAATGCGAATAAGGGCCTGTGATAAATGAGAAATTCTTTCCATACTTTGATAATTTACAATAGTTTTGTTTTGTTGAATAAAAAAGGGTAGAATTTTTATGATGATAATTAGTAAACAATGCGCCTAATCCATGTGTTAATTCATGAAACATTAAATTGACATATGCACTTGTATTTGTTTCAAATTCTGATGCATATTTAGCTCGTTTAGCTTGATTGATAAGCACTTCTGAAAGAATTGGTCGGCGAAATTTATCTGTTTCCAAATAACCTGTCATGGCTTAAATAGAAGAATCGCTTGGATATCTCGTAATTTTAACTATATATTCTAGGTCATAATCTTTGTTTGGAATTGAAATAACTTTGAGGAATTTTTCTGCAAATTCTTTATGATCATTCATTATAATAGTGAGATTTATAATATCCTTACCAAGATCAATAATTTGGCCTACTTCATAACATGAGAGTGAATTATGGAGTTCACCTGTGATGTAACTGTAGTTTAACTTGATTCTGATGTTCTTCCATCCACTTTCGTCAAGATTTTGTCTCATATATTTCGGATCTGGAGCTGGTTCAACAGGATCTGGAAAAATAAGCTTTCCCATTAGAAAAATATTCATTGTTTAATGATTTCACATTCCAAAATCTGGTTTGTTTTATCAATTTTTTTTCAATACTCTTATGAATCGGTTTAACTATTTCAGTAATGACATGAAAACCAATATCAGCACTCATTCTTATAATTCTGACTATATATATCAATTTTCACTCTTTTAGTTATTTATATTCTTTTGATAGGAAAAATATTTATTTCCTCTCAACTTTTTCTATTTTTTTATTAATCTAAAGAACTAATGAAAAGAAATGTATTTGGCAAACATATACATTTTTAGTATGATTGTTCAATAAAAATTCTTAATGCAGAGATACTTTAAAAAAATGATATCAATAAAAGGGACCTTAGAGTATAAAAAATTGATAAACATCAGCAGTATTTATAATTTTCATTTCTCATTAAAATTAAACTAAACAATATCTTTACTAATGTTAGGGAAATTTTTTTGAACAACAATAATATGTAGGAACACAATGACTTTGTCTGTGATCAATTTTAGTCTGATAAGTAATTATCGCCTGAATTCGCATCTTGGTCTTCTTCGATTTCTTCTTGTTTAGATTTTCTGCCATGATCTGCAGTTTCGACATTATCAAATTCTTCTTGATCCCCGTGACTTGATCGGTATTTGAAGATAACAATGAATACGATAATAACGATGACAACAATAACTGTAATTCCGACAACTGTATATTGAGAAATGACTCTTGTAAGCCTTGCAGATTGTGATTCTGCATAAGGATCATTAAGTTGTGTGACACTCAAATCTGGATCGAAAGGATCACGAACGAAATGCATTTCTTGCAATTTAACTGTTCGGCAGAACAACTCTGGATCAATACATGTAATATTCTTGAAAAGATCAAAATATCCAGGAAGCTTAATTGTAAAATTCAAATTTGCATTCTCTTTTGTGCACGTTATATTTGTGAAATTTGCATCGATATCGCCATAATCTGGTGTAATCAATGTGAAATTATCGTATTTGTTACAAATATATTGATGACAAACTGAATCTCCTGGGATCATTGTTTCTCCATCTTTGCACATCATCGATAGATATTTGATTGGAAGATAATCATGGTCGGAATAAAACCCAACGTAAAATTTGTTTAATGGGTTGTAAAAATCAATCCCTTTGCAATATGCTGTTTTGCTTGATCCGCATATTGGTGCCTTATCACAAATTGTATATCCACCGTGTTTGAAGTCAAAACCTACATAGTCTGGACTTTCTTTATCCCATTCCATATTTCCTCTTGTTGGATAATAGTAATATTGTTTTGGAAAGACAATTTGTGGTGGCCCTAGTGCAAAGTCTTTGATTGGTTTTCCATCAATTTGCGTTTCTGGATTTCCCCAAACTATCGGTCTTGCCATTGACCAGTTGCATATGTAATTTCCTGTATCTTGAAGAAGAGCTATTGTTACATCTGTAATTCGCACCATCGAATTATGATCTACACGGAGATTATTTTCAATGGCTATATCTGTGTAAAATAATCTTCCCATAACATAGTTATTACTATATAGCGAGCGAGAGCCGTCATATTCTATTTCTATTCCTGGTGGACATGTTTTATTGTCGCCTTCAAATATATTAACACCATAATGTTTTTGTGCAAATAAATGTGAATAAGGACCAATCAAGAAATTGTATTGTCTTCCATACTTTGTGAGTGAACAATATGTTTCATTGACCGGATATAATTCAGTTGAATTCTTTGGATGATATCTTCCACTTATAATATTCAATGTATTAAAGAAACCATGCATCATTTCACCAACAAAATATGAAGAATCAGTATCCCAAATCGAAGGTTCTGTTGGTAATGAATCGTAGTCAATAATTAGTGTTGCTTGAGTAGTTCGTAAATATTCATTATATTTATCTCTACTAGACTTCACAGGTAATCCGAATCTTGGAGGATATCTTACAATCTTGATAATTAGTTCCATATCATAATCTTTGTTTGGAGAAGGAAGTACTTTAAGGAAACTCTCTTGAAATTCCTTGAAGTGATTAAGAGTTTTTGTAAAATTCGTTAAATCAGTATTAGGAAGGGTTGACTTTTTATCGCATTTAATTTCATGGCCATAATAATCAATAATTTGTCCTTCATCATAGCAGGAGTACTGTTCTCGAAGCTCCCCTGTAACGTAACTCATGTTAAGCTTGATTCTGATGTTTTTCCATTCATCATCTAGAGTCTGGCGATGAATATTTGTATACTCTGGAACCATCTCAGGTTCTGGAAATATCCATTGACATTTTTCGTTGAAAAATGCTTCTTCCTGTGACTTTGAACTGAAAAACAATGATAAAAACATTTGACAAAAATTTTACCTTGAAAGTCATTGTGTTGAATCGGACTTAAATGTTGATGTTGATACACTATGTTGGACATTATATATTACTTTGAGGGCAAGACGATTGTATTTTGATCAGTATTAACCTTAATTTTGGAATTTCATATATTTTCATTAAATGTGATGAACTTCCATAGGTAATCGCTTCTATTCATTTTTAAGGTATGACGTAAGAAAATACGATTTCGGAATTTCGGAATTTTAGAATTTACTCATAAATAGTTGAAAAATAATGATATTATAAATTTTGTTAATTTTTATGACTGTTATTTCCTAAATCAATAGGTAATTTATTCCGAAATTTTGCATTTCTCTATAAATATCAAATTGCGCAAGAATATAATCTATTACCAGTAGATTTCAAGTAATTTTTTAATATAGAATGCAATGAAAAAAACAAAAAGAATAATGATAATCATAAAACTTGAATTAGAGTTAAGCTAAGCATTAGGTTATGAATCCAATAAGTGTATGGGTATAATTGGAAAATTTAAGGCAATATGTTTTTGGAGCCTTACATTATTAGAAGCTGATCGTTAATTATTAAAAGATAATGCGTTAATATACCTTTTTACTAAAAAGTATCCGTAAATTATATATATTGCAATACAACAAACCATTAGAAAAAACAATTTCTTATCATTCAAATTGATCATTAACAATAGATGTTTTCTAATCTGAGAGATAGTTTTCTTCAGTATTAGGTGTTGGGGCTTCTGCCTGTTTCGTTTTATTAGGTTTGTCTGGTTTGTTTGTGTTTTCAATATTTTCGATATCATCGTTCTTGTGATCATAGACTTCTTCGTCGTCATTTTCTTCATTAGAGTGTTGTTTCTTACGAATGATGATTACAATAATGACAATAACTGCAATAATGATTATACCTAATATAACACATGGAACAACAATTTTGACAACTTTGCCTTTGTTCGATTTCTCGTATGGATCATCAAGTTGTGTTACACTCAAGTCTGGATCAAATGGATCACGAACAAAATGCATCTCACTCAACTTCACTGTTCGACAGAACAACTCTGGATGAACGCAAGTAAGGTTCTCGTATTTGTTCTTATAGTTAGAATTTCGGACTATAATTGTTTCATTTGGATTATCTCTCGTGCATGTAATATTAGTTTCAGACCCGTTGATATCTTCGAATTCTGGAGTGATAAGTGTAAAACTATCATATTTGTCGCAGATATACTTTCGGCAGCCGCCAACACCCGGAATTATTGCTTCACCTTCTTTACATGATTCAAAGGGCATTTTAACCAATGCATAATCAAAAATATCATAGCCTGCAAGATATTTTAAATTCAATGGATTGTAAAATTCCTTGTTAGAACATAATTTTGCCCAATAGCCATCACAGCTGGAATCATATGGCGAACCCAAATTCATCCCAGTATATTTATAATCAAATCCAATACTATCACCTAATTTTCCTTGGGCAAGATATAGTTCGGGAAAGACAAGTTGTGGAGGTCCAAGGGCAAAGTCTTTAATTGGTTCACCTCCAATTTGTGACTCTCTATTACCCCAAACTAATGGTTTTGCCATTGACCAATTGCAAATGTAATTTCCTGTATCTTGAAGGATTGCAATTGTGGCAGCTGTAATTCGCTCAACTATTGCAGTTTCTTGTTGAACTGACATTCCGATATTTAAATCTGTAAAAAATCTATTAGCTTTGATATGGCTACCATCTGATCCAATATCTTCAAAACCATCTTCAAGTTCAATTCCAGATGAGCAATTCTTATCATCTCCAACAAATACATCAACACCGTAATGCTTTTGAGCAAATAGATGTGAATAAGGGCCTGTGAGAAATGTGTAATTTTTACCATATTTTGATAGTGTGCATCTTTGTTGTTTTGTGGAATAATAGAGAGTAGAATTTCTATGATGATAATATGAATGAATCGCACCTAAAGCATGTGTAAATTCATGAAACATTATGTTAATAAATGTGCTTCTGTTCGTTTCAAATTGAGAAACATATTTCACAAGGTGATCTTGATTAATCAGCACTTGGGAAAGAATTAGACGATGTAAATTATCGGTTTCAAGGTAACCTGCTCTGGCAGCAACGGAAGAACCTTTTGGATATCTATTAATTTTAACTATATATTTTAGATCATAATCTTTGTTTGGAGTTGGAATAACTTTCAGGAATTTTTCTGCGAATTCTTTAAGATTGTTCATTGTAATAGTGAGATTTGTCATATTGAAATTTAATAGGGCCATTTCTTTTGTACATGTAACACTTTGAGTTGAAGTGACTTTAACAACTTGGCCTTCTTCATAGCAAGAAAGTGGATCTCGAAGTTCACCTGTGATATAACTGTAGTTTAGCTTAATTCTAATGTTCTTCCACCCACTTTCGTCAAGATTTCTTCTAGTTCCTTTTGGATAAGTTTCGACTTCAATTGGATCAGGGAATATAAGTTGTCCATCATCTGTAAAATATGCATTATCAAGCGATTTAACAGACAGAATCAACCCAAAAAGCATTATTTGGCACTTCTGTTTCTTTTTTTCTCAAAAAAATTATTTCAATAATAGAATTGAATTGAATCGAGCTTTAATATTCCGGTGCACATAAGTGTGCTAATTTAAATACATTATTAAAAATGATCAAATTTTCATCAACTGTAATATTTATAAATCGGATATATAAATATTTATTTCTTTTATTATTTACATTAGTTTTAATAGGAAATTATCAATATTACACTTTTTTCTTAAAATTTCGGAAATGTTGATCTCAAGAACGGTGAAAAATAAATGAGTATTGTTGAACACATTCATTATGAAGCTTATATCAATTAAAAATAAGTATTTGCATTTCATTAGATTGTTATCGGTTCCGTTTCAGAGTGAAATTTTAATAGTTATAAATGTTACTATGTAAAAAATAAAAAAATAGTTAAAAGGCATCTTGAAAAGAAATATTTAAATAAATTTTTACAAAAAGTTTACTATGTGAATGTTTTCAACTAATATAATTGTATAATTGATTATTTTTAATCTGATAAGTAATTATCGCCTGAATTCGCATCTTGTACTTCTTCGATTTCTTCTTGTTTAGTTTGATTAAATTTATTGGATCTTCTGACTCGATCTGCAGTTTCGACATTATCAAATTTTTCTTGATCCCCGTGACTTGATCGGTATTTGAAGATAACTATGAATACAATAATAATGATGACAAAGATGACTGTAATTCCAACAACTGTATATTGAGAAATGACTCTTGTAAGCCTTGCAGATTGTGATTCTGCATAAGGATCATCAAGCTGTGTGACACTCAAATCTGGATCGAAAGGATCACGAACGAAATGCATCTCTTGTAATTTAACTGTTCTACAAAACAACTCTGGGTCAATGCAAGTAATATTTTTGTAAACATCAAGATATTCAGGTAGTTTGATTGTAAAATTTTTACCTGCATTCTCTTTTGTACATGTAATATTTGTGAAATTTGCATCGATATCGCCATAATTTGGTGTAATCAATGTGAAATTATCGTATTTGTTGCAAATATATTGATGGCAAACTGAATCACCTGGAATCATTGCTTCTCCATCTTTGCATTTCATAAAAGGTAGCCTAATTTGAATATAATCATAAGTATACCATGAGCTTATAAATGAACGGTTTAATGGGTTGTAAAATTCTTTTGCAATAGTCTTCCCAATAACCTGTGCATGATGATGGTGCATTAGATGAGATTGTGTATCCTCCATGTTTAAAATCAAAACCAACATATTGGGGAGAATCTTTATCTAAAGTAATTGCAGTTGTATCGGAATAATAGAAATATTGTTTTGGAAAGACAAGTTGTGGAGGACCCAGTGCTAAGTCTTTGATTGGTTTTCCACCAATTTGCGTTTCTGGATTTCCCCAAACTAATGGTTGTGCCATTGACCAGTTGCATAAATAATTTTCTGTATCTTGAATAATAGCCATTGTTGCATCCGTCAGTCGTTCAATATAATTTCCGCTTGCACGAAGATAAAGTTGAATGCTCAACTCTGTGTAAAACAATCTTCCACGAATATAGTTATTATATGTTCCGCGAGTACCATCATATTCAATTTCTATTCCTGATGGACATGTTGAATTATCGCCTTCAAATACATCAACTCCATAATGTTTTTGTGCAAATAAATGTGAGTAAGGTGCTATCAGGAAATTGAACTGTCTGCCATATTTGATTAATGAGCAATATGTTTCATTGTCTTTATATGGTTTTGTTGAATTCTTTGGATGATATCTTCCGTGAATTGCATCCAATATTTTATTGAATTCACGCATTATATTGCCCATATATTCTCCTGATTCTGTTTCCCACATTGATGGCTGAGATGGAAGTCCAAGGTGATTGAAATTCATTGTGGCTTTAGTAGTTCTTTGATACTCATTATAAGTATCTGGATTTACTCGAAGAAAACTTTCAATATAAGGATATCTAATAATTTTGATAATTAGCTCCAAATCATAGTCTTTGTTCGGCGAAGGAAGTACTTTCAGGAACTTTTCTTCAAAATTCTTGAAATTATTAAGTGTTATTGTAAAACTCGTTAAATTTGTATTAGAAAGTATCATATCTTTTTCACATGTAATATTTTTATTATAAAATTTGAGAATTTGTCCTTCTTCATAGCATGCATTTGGATCTCGAAGTTCTCCAGTGACGTAGCTCATGTTAAGTTTGATTCTGATGTTTTTCCATTCCTCATCTAGAACTTGGCGATTAGTGTTTGAATACTCAGGAACAAATTTAGGCTTCGGAAATGTTAATCCACCTTCCTTGTTGAAATGAACTCCGTCCTGAGACTTTGTACTGAAAAACAATGAAAAAAACATTTGTCAAAAATACTTCTGAAATCCTCTTTGCATTTTTTCGGATTTGAATCGGATCTCAACATTAGTATATATATGTAATCATATTTATATAGTTCTAAAATTTAAGAGATATTTGATTGTATTTCGATCAGTTTTAACCTTATTATATCATTTCAGATCTATTTTCATTAAATATCTGACCGACCTACATCAAAAATTATTTTGTTATGATTTTCATATTTAACGCAAATAAATACGATTTCGGATTTTAAAATCTAGAATTATCAAATAAAAATACTAAAACACATTATAAATATGACTTTTTAATAGATGTGATCAACAGTTACCTCTAAATTAAAAGAAAATTATGGACGATAATTTTATAATCTTTATAATTTCAAATCTCACTGCAACATTGTAAAGTTTTCTTACATATTTAAAGATAGTGTTTACCAATAATCCAATAAAAATCAAAAATCATAAAACAATAACAAAAAAATGCAATAAAAACTGAATAACTATTGAAATTTTATCAAGTTATAATTTCAATTGATAAAATTATGTAAAATATATTCGAAAATAAATATACAGCACATATTTTGACAAAAATTTGATTCTTCATTGAAAGATCCATCATGAACTTATGGATGAATATCATCTAGAAGATTTTCTTGATTTTAATAATAGAAATGATAGTGTTGATAGCTTTCATGATGTTTCAACTAATAACAGAAGTGAAGATAATTTTATTAAAATTCATGTCTTTAGAGTTAGAAGATGGATCTTCCTGTTTGGATTCAATAATTATTTGGTCCTTATTTTTGTACCTCTTTCTCATATGTATTATCGAGTTATGTAACACTCATATTTGGATCTACAAGATCACAAAAAAAAATCATGTAATTTCACCGTACTACAAATAAGCTCTGGATGGATACATGCGAATAATTAACTATAATTGATTCGAATGATCGTATAATAGGTATACTATTTCATGTGGATTTAAATGATCCAATGCCCATCATACTTAAAAAAATATTTAAATTATTAATATTAGATCGTTTAAATTTTCAGAAAATAACAAATTCTGATAACGCCCATTCACGAAAGGTTAAACTTCATCATCTTTGAGGTTGTTGATACTTTCATCTTCACTGATATCTGTATTTGACTTTCGTTTCTTGATGATAAAAATAATAACAATGACAATAATAGCAATAACAATAACGCCGCAAACAACACATGGAACAATGATCTTGATTTTGTTGTTAGATTTAGATTTAGAATCTGATTCAGAATCTGATGTTGTATTTGTGTTTGCATCTGTTTTAGTACTTGATTCACCATATGGATCATCGAGTTGTGTAACACTTATATCTGGATCGAATGGATCTCTTACAAAATGCATTTCATGCAATTTAACTGTTCTACAAAACAATTCTGGATGAACACATGTGATATTTCTAACAGCATCTGAATAGGACGAGGCTAGAACTGTTATGTTTTTGTTTGGATCATCTTTTGTGCATGTAATATTAGTTTGATTTCCATTAGCATCTTTGAGATTTGGTGTTATCAATGTGAAACTATCATATCTATCGCAGATATATTTCCTACAAATTCCATCGCCTGGATACATTGCCATACCATTTTCACATGAAGACCAAGGAAATCTGAATAAATTGTACTCAAATACTGCGTATTTTGAGATAAACTTTTTATTCAACGGATTGTAATAATCTTTACCTTTGCAATATTCCGCCCATTCACCATCACAATTGCTTGGAGTTGAAATATCTCCAAATGCAATTCCTCCATATTTAAAATTAAATCCCGTAAAATCTGGATCCGATTCCATCAATACATAACTTGTCTTTTCTTTTAGATATTGTTTTGGAAATACTAATTGTGGAGATCCAAGTGCAAAGTCTTTGATTGGTTTGCCTCCAATTTGGGATTCTGGATTGCCCCAAACTAATGGTTGTGCCATTGACCAATTGCACAAATAGTGTCCTGTATCTTGAAACAGTGCCATTGTAGCATCAGTTATGCGTTCAAAATGTAGTCCAGGATTTTGAACGAATGCAGAAGCCAGAATATCTGTAAAGAACTTAGTGCTTTTAAGAATTGAACCGGATTGTTCAATGCCAGATGGACATGTATTGTCATCACCAACAAATTCATCAATACCATAATTTTTTCGTGCAAAAAGATGTGAATATGGTCCAATCAAAAAACTAAATCTCTTTCCATTTTTCGTCAATGAGCAATAGTTGTATTTATCGGGATAGAACATTGTTGAATTTTTGTGATGATACTTAGGATATGTTGCCCCAAGAGCATGTACACTTTGGGAAAATAGTTCAACAATGAAATCACTAGTTTTTGTTTCAAATTCTGAAACATATTTTTAAATTTTGGCAGGATTAATCTTTATATCAGATTTTAATGGTCTTCTTAATTTGTCGTATTCTAATATATTTGCATCAGCTATAGTAGAAGAAGAAGATTTGTATTGAGGTAATTTGATAATATATTCAAAATCATAATCTTTATTAGGTGTTGGAATAACTTTGAGGAAATTTTCGAGGAATGTTTTCAGATTGTTCATTGTAATAGTAAAGTTAGTGAGATCCATATTTGAAACAACTTTGTTTTTGTCACAAGCAATAGTTTCTGAGCCAACTTGTATCTGTTGATCTTCTTCATAGCATGTTTGAGGATCACGAAGATTTCCTGTAATATAATCGTAGTTTAACTTGATTCTAATGTTCTTCCAATCTGGATCATCAAAATTATATCTTTCTTGAATCGTCTTGATATTAGAAAGAACACTATTGGATGATCTACGTTCATCATATCTTGTTAAGTTTATATGTTTCAAAGACATAATAGATAAAATAAGTTCAAAAAACATTGTAAAAATTTTTCTAAATGAATCTCATTTGAATTCAAATGAATCGGATTTTTGCTACATTACTATGAACATGGATGGTGTTGTAAAAATGTATTTTTGAGCTGATCAGAATAACCTTATCGTATTGATGATGCATCGTTTTATTTATTATAAATCGCAGTTAAGGATAATGTATGGTTTCGTATTTCTTATTCATTTCCGTCTGAAACTTTTGAATTTATCATAATTTCTAAAATAAGATATATTTAAATTTATGTTTAATAACATAAATACATGATTTTTACTCATATTTCATTGCCAAAATTTTAAAAATTCTAAATATCTTAGATAAACATAAGATTATATTGTTTTAAATAAGTTTAAATATAAAAAAAGACTAAACATAATGAATAAATTGGTTATAATTCTAATCTGATAAGAAGTTATCAGCTGAATCGGGTGCTAGACCTGTTTCAATATCACCTTTTCTTGCTGATTTATTAGACCTATTAGGATCTTCGGCATTGTTGCCATAGTCATTATCTTCATTTGATTTTCGTTTCTTGATGATAAAAATAGTAACAATAACAATGATAGCAATAATAAGAACACCACAAACAACACATGGAACAATGATCTTGATTTTGTTGTTAGAATTAGATTTAGAATCTGATTCAGAATCTGATGTTGTATTTGTCTCTTCTTTCGTGCTAGATTCCAAATATGGATCATCGAGTTGTGTAACACTCATATTTGGATCGAATGGATCTCGAACAAAATGCATATCACTCAACTTCACTGATCTGCAAAACAATTCTGGATGAACACATGTGACATTTATATAATCATCCATATATCCAGGAAGTTTCAGTGTAATTGTCTTATTTGGATCGTCTTTTGTGCATGTAATATTAGTGAAATTTCCTTCAATATCACCATATTCAGGTGTAATCAATGTGAAACTATCGTATTTATCACATATGTATGGATGACAAATTCCCTCGCCAGGAAGCATTGCTTCGCCCTTTGGACATTCAGATGATGGGTATCTAATATTTGCGTAATTAAATATATCAGAAGAAGAGATTGTTGGTAAGTTTAACGGATTGTAGTATTGTTTTGCATCACAATATTTTTTCCATACTGTGTTTGAATTACAATTTGGAGCATTTATGGAAAATGGTATTCCTGAATGCTTGAAATCAAATCCTACATACTCTGGATCTTTTCTGTTAAATACATTCTGTCCAGGTTTAGCATTATATAGATATCCTTTTGGATAAACAAGTTGAGGAGGTCAAAGAGCAAAGTCTTTAATTGGTTGGCCTCCAATTTGAGATTCTCGATTGCCCCAAACTAATGGTTGAGCCATTGACCAGTTGCAAATGTAATTTCCTGTATCTTGAATAATAGCAATTGCTGCATCTGTTAGTCGAATTAGTGGGCCCGTTCCGATATTTATTTCACCAAAGAAAGTTAATCCTTTAAGATGGAAATCTTTTGTACCTTTTCCGCCACCATCTTTTATTTCAATTCCTGATGGACATGTTTTATCATCACCAACAAATTCATCAACACCATAATGTTTTTGTGCAAAAAGATGTGAATATGGAGATATTTGGAACTTGAATTCTTTTCCATACTTAGTCAATGAGCAATACATTTGATCTCGTTTATAAAAATCCTTTGAATTTCTTGGATGGTACAATCCTTGTAATGCATATAGTGAATGTGTGAATTCATGAATCAAAGTGTTCATATAACTACTTGATTCTGTTTCAAATATTGATAGCTCAGATAGTACTCCTAATGCATTCAGCCATATAGTTCCTGATGTTGGTCTCCAATATTCATCAAAAGTCTCGGGTCTTGCTTGTGCAACTACTCTAGATGTGCTAGGAAAGTAAATTATTCTCACAGTTAGTTCCATATCATAATCTTTAGTTGGCGTAGGGAGAACTTTAAGAAATCGTTCTGCAAAATCCTTTAAGTTGTGTATCATGATTGTTAAATTTGTATAATCATGACTTGAAAATATCGTACTTTTATTACATTCAAGATTTTCATTTGCATCCTGAAATTCGATGATTTGACCTTCCTCATAGCACATTGATGGGTCTCGAACTTCACATGTAATATAACTCATGTTAAGCTTGATTCGGATGTTTTTCCATTCATCATCAAGTGTTTGACGTGTGAGATTTGAATATTCTGGAATAAGAACTGGGTCTGGGAAGATGATACGACCTTCTTCATCAAATCGGAGACGTTCTTCTGACTTGATAAAATAGAATAAAATAAAAAACATTCTGTTATAAAAAATTATTTGACAAAAATTATCAAAATTGCCAAGTTGAATCGGATTTGAATGTTGACATTAACAGATTATATCAGTCTCATTAATAATGTTTGTGATAAAAATGCTCACATTTGATCAGAATTAACCTTATTGATAATTTTATGTTTCTGATTTCATAAAATGGTTATTTTAATATCAAGATACATTATATTCTTATTTTTCGGATAAGATGTAACTAAATAATATATTGAAAACAAAGATCTTATGCTGTATTGAATATGGTGTTATCATACTTAAATGTCATATCTTTAAAATACTTTGGTAAATATTATTTCCCTAAAATTTGAGAAAAAGAATCGACAATTGAATAAAGTGTTATTAGCATAAATTGCTAAATTACAAAACATATTGAGTAGCATTTGAGTATTATTGATTGCCGTCATGTCCCTAGATAATACACTTTGAGAAAAAGTTTTTGAGATAACACAAAAGACTGTCAACAATTCGTGTCATTAAAAAAAAGGTAGTGGGGCTTCCAGGCGCGTTGCGCCCTCTAGCCCTGAAGATGTTTAGTATAAATGAAGTTTTTATTCGGAGGGCTTCCAGGCGCGTTGCGCCCTCTAGCCCCGAAGATGTTTAGTATAAATGAAGTTTATATTCGGAGGGCTTCCAGGCGCGTTGCGCCCTCTAGCCCATAAAAAATTTCTGAGGACGAGCCAGCCGTTGACTTTTTTGTAGAGCACTCAAAATAGTATAACTTTGTCCGGACAAGTAAGGATCTATCATCGCTACAGGAAAAGTTACAGGCGTTCCAAGGAAGTATACTTTGAGAAGCCTTTTTCCCCTTATAGAATGAGATAGGATGGTATTTACAAAACTGACAACACTTTGACCGAGTAGTTTTTTGTGCTGAACAAAAAGTGTCATATAAACATCTGTCAAAAACCCTTTTTAACTTCACTTAAAATGCACGTAAGCTACGTAAGAATATACGTAAGAGGAAGGGAGCATTGAAACATCCAATAGTAAAACTGACACCACAACAACAGTTGCAACAACAAATGATGAATGACCCCACTATGTTGCAACAAATGTCAAGCAACCCTATGCTTTTAAACGAGTTATTGGTGCACAGAGTGGAGGTTAAGAGCGGCACTTTTAGCGAAAATGGCAGGCTATGGTGGAGCTGCAGACGGAACGGCTTATAAACCTCAAAGTCAAATGAATTTGAGTTCACTCAAAAATCAAATAACAGATGTCAAAAAGTCAAACATAGACATACAGAAACAAATAAGTGAAAACGAAAAGAAACTAGAATATGACAGACACACAAAGAAACTCAATGAGTTAAACGTAGAGAAAAAGAAGAAGAAGAACAACTGAAAGAACTAAGTACAGAGGAATATGCGAAAAAGTGTCAGAAAAAGCAGCAGAAGTAGCAAAAATGGAACAAGATGTTATAAATTTGAAAAACCAAACTACTCAATATAAAGTACTGAAAGATGAAGAGATAAAACAAAAAACCATGAAGACATATATGGATAGCGATGAGTATAAAAAGAAGTTGAAGCAAATGTAAAGGCAGAAAAACTTTTAAGTTGCAAAACCAAACCGTACAGTATGAAAACTTAGCACAAGAAAGTAAAAATAACGACGCAGCCATGCAAAAGGCAATGAAAAGCGCAGAATATATAAAAGCTAATAATGACTGTTAATGCCCAAGCCAACGCTAAAGCAGCCCAACTTATAGGGTCAATAAGGACAAAAATACAAGCGGATGAAGACAGTTCAAATGAAGCTTTAATGAATGCTGACTTTAAGAATGCCTTCGAAGCTCTTTCATAGTAAGTGAAACTAGTGAACGACTTCTCATCTGGAAAGAAACTGAAGTCTGAAGGTTTCGACAACGAGTTAAGAGAAGTAGCACAAAATATGACGAAAATAACAGATGCAGCAACGAGACAGGCAGTTCAAAGTGCCTATGACGCGTGTAGAGCAACTGTTGTGGAAAGTCAAGAAAAAGAGTTACAACAGCACAAAACAGACCTAGTAAATGCTTTCTTAAAAACGAAAAGTCAGGTAGACATTATGCTGCAGATGGAACATATGTGCCAGCTGGTGGAACTTAATACCACCAAACCCTCCAAGAGAAGCACCTGCACCAGGACTACCTAAAACATTTACATCGTCACATGGACACAGACACAGGCATGCACCAAAACCAACACAACAACCAACAGTTCAAAATCCAGCACCACAACAACAACCAAAACCAACAGTTCAAAATCCAGCACAGCAACCAACAGTTCAAAACCCTGCACAGCAACAACAACCAACACAGCAACAACAACCACCTCCACAACCAGCACAGCAACCAACATTCAAAACCCTGCACAACAACAACCACAAAACAGAGCAAGGACATAAAAGAAAAACAAAATTCTTAAATCTTAAGGAAGATTATGTTACCCAGATACTCTTGACTTTAGTGGACAGATATAAAGAAGCTATTAGAAAGTTCAAGGAAGGAAATACTGACCCGAACCTATTTAGCTTTATGGCTCAGCATAAAATCGGATATAATCTCAAACCTGAAAATACAAGCTCGCTAAGGATATGATTTAATAGCATATCATCCAAATGACATGAATGAATTTATCCGAGATATTTGTGTGTCAGAGCTAAATGATAATTCAACTCTCTTCATGAAATGCGTAAAAAATAGAGACGGAACGAAAGAAGAAAGGTTTATGAGTCCGGATGACTTAGATAGGGACTTGTTAAAAACGGGCTCGGAATATATGAAATTCCAGCAGATGAGGTACAAGAACTAACAGGAAGAAGTTCATACAACCAGACATGGAAGAAATAGTTCAGCAACAACAGCTAGAAGAGCTCGGAAAACGAACAAGTCCCTCCTGTGAAACTAACTTCACAGAACTAGAATGAAGAGATGAACAGCCGAAAAATCTTGACCCTCAACAAGTGTATGAGGTGAATATGGAATCTTTCCAAGAGTCTAAGAAAATTCGGCTGACATAGTAGAAGAATATCGAAAAATGTTCGCCGACATACAAAAGACTCCAACATCAGATGAAAATATTCAGCATAGAATGGAAGTACTGAAAGAAACTGTACGCAAATGCAATAATCCTTTTTACTTACGACCATATAACGTTCAATCTTTGGCTGAACTCGGTGAAAATAAAAGGTTTAATTTCAACAAAACATATAGAAATGAAACATTGTTTAAAGTTCATTCAGAACCTAACCAATATGGAACAAAACCTACTTTTGTTTCTGCAGACTTATGAACTACAATGAGATGGGGTCAAGCATAATCCGGATAGGTGGTTCATAAACTTACAACCTCAATTCCAAGAAGTTGTAGACGCAATGGAAGTGAATGGTGAACCAGTATAGCTGGTATTTTCAGCGCGGCTTTAATGCCATTGAAGATATGAAAGATGCAGATATTTTGGCCAGTATGAAATGAACATGGCTGATGAAATATAACACCTGACTCTAGAACATTTATCTCAAAGAACTACACAGAACCATAGAGATGTATATTTGGTGAAGAGTTTAGAAAGAAAGTTAGGGAGAGAGAAGGAAGAGAACCTATTGTACATGACCTTGCAAACGAAAGTTTGCAAAATGTCATAAAAACTTACTTTGCAGACAATGAACCGAGAATGGATAATATTAAGAAAACTCAAAGGACAGTACATAATGTTAGTATTGAAAAACATGTTCCTTGACAAAATAAAACCAACTACAGAAATAAATGACGCAAGACTGAAACATTGGGTAAAAGCTTTCCCATTCACAAAAGATATTATTGGTAACATGGAAAGAAAACCAGAATGGCTACAAAAACATATATTTGGAAACGAGCTTATTCCATATGGACAAGCTCTGTTTGAAGAGCTTGAACCGGAAACTCAGGAAAGAGTCAGCAAACAATACGCGAAGACTCAAATACAAACTATGACGAAATCTTTCTAGGATATAGGTTACCTGAGATGGGCGACCAGAGCCCAAAGGCAAAAAGGACATGGGAAATTTACAACATACTAGGTGAACATGAGGCAAAGATGCAACAACTTGAAGCAGAGGGCAAGTTACCAAAAGCGACACCAAAGAAGAAGAGTAGAACAAAGTGAAAGTAGTGAAGAAGTAACTTCATCTAGTGAAAGTAGTGCAATGAAGGAAAAAGAAGAGTTAAAAACTCAGTCAGAAGAAAGTAAAGCTTGGGTCGAGTGGGTTCTATTATGATATATAAATCCAACTATTCTATATTTTACCCATATGAAATGTACGCCGCTCAGAATATAACGCCAACAGTTTTGGATGCCATGAACGAAATGTTTCCGAATGGTATAACGAATGCGACAATGCCATTAGAAGGTCAGAAATAGTTCCTGAACTTACGAATATACAACTGCTGTTTCTTATGGAAACGTAGGTGAGTTTGGAGAAGGTTCTTCAACAACAGTAGATATTGCTTGCGACAGGTTTCATATTATTTCTATTGACAACTCATTCTTATACGTGGAACAAGACATTGAAATAAAACCCTCTGCCAAGTTGTCTGACAAGAAAGGTTGCAATGGAATTTTCTATGTCGGATACCAATATGCTCCAGAAGTTTTCATGGGATATAAGATATATTCTAACTCTGACTTAGTTCAAACAGTAACATGGGCAAACTATGAATGGTTCGCCTTGAGAAACTCAGTCAACCACAAGCTAGAGAACAAACAGACCAGTATGCAAATATTAGAAAATAAGAAGACTTGACCCTAACGCCAGGAGTTTATGTTGACCTTTCTGGACAAACTGCAGCAGCAGTAACCAAAGTAAAACTGAAACTTAGAGTTCCTTTGTCATCTTTCTCATCTTTAGGTTCTTAAGATACTTGCAAACTGGGCAGGAAAAATTTCTATCGAACTTACTCCAAGCAAAAATAACTTAGTCATTGCACCAACACAAGACCCATTCACTCT